CCGCTGCGCTGTGCTGCGGGCTGCTGTGCGGCTGTGCCGCAGCACAGTGTAGTGGCCGCTGAATTGTCCCGTCTCTCGCCAACGGTTACATTACACAGCATCGCGCACCTGCCAGAGCAGTGCCAGCAGACTCATTCCGAGAGTCAGTTTCGTCGCTCTGTCTCTCTCGCACTCATGGAGCGTCACCGATTGGTGCGAGCGAGACAGAGCGACGAAAACGACTCTCGGAATGAGTCTGCAGTGGCGGGGTGGCGGCCGGCCGGTGGCAGTGGCCCGCGGACGCACTGCGGCATAGACTCATTTCAAACGGCGGGCACGTCGCTCTGTCTCTCTCGCACCCCTCTTTTCTCCGAGGCGCACCACGAGTGCGAGAGAGACAGGAGCATAGAGCAACGAAAAAGCCTGAAGCCCTGAGTTCGGAATCAGCCCGCTGCCTCCTGGACGCTGGACCGCGGGCGGCGGCGCGTGGAGCAGCACATCATAATGCCTCGCCCGCCACTAATTGCTCTGTGTGTGTGTGTGTGTGTGTGTGTGTGTGTGTGTGTGTGTGTGTGTGTGTGTATGTGTGTGTGTCTGTGCAGAGAAAGCAAAGCACATGCACGCCAAGGACAAGTTCACGACGGCCTGCGCGGCCTGCACTGCACGGCCCGCTCGGCCTGCAGGATGAGGAGCAGCGCGGAGGGCGTGTCCGCGAGGCGCCGCGAAGCCGCCAGGCCGCCAAGGCGCCAAGGCCCAGCGCGTCAGAGGCCGCCAAGAAGAGCACGCGAATGCGGGACGCGAGACAAGACGCCGCCCCGCCCGCGCATGCACCTCCATGTGGGCTCCTCCGGCGCACAACGCCTAGCTCGACGCGCTAGCTCTGCCTAACAACAGCCGGCTCCTTTTAAGGACGCACTAACGATTTCGGGTTTACCATATGACCACCATGCCCGGTGATAAACACGAATTTCAACGCGCGCACACGCACGCCCCCCCCCCTCCCCCCACACACACATGCGCGCGCATAGGGCACGCACGGGCGCGTGCAGAGCGGGGGGCGGTGCCTTCCTGCAGCAAGTGCGTCATGACCGTGTCGTTATTTCAGACTGAGGGAAGGCCCGGTTGCACTTGGCTTGTGCTGGCGGCCGTGCTGGCCGTGCTGGCGGTCCAGAAGGGCGTGCGGGGCCTCGTGACGCGCGTCCCCTCCCCGGGCTGTCGAGTGTCGCGTGCAGTGTCACAACGGAATGGCCGTTTCCTTGGCGTGCTTGTTGGCGTGCTTGTTGGCGGCGCGGTGCTGCGCGGTGCTGCGCGGTGCTGCGCGGTGCGGCGCGGCTCGGCCCAAAGTGGCGGCGCGGCCGGGACGCGGGACGACGGTCGGCCATAGGCAGGCGGTGCAATGGACGACTTTTGCAAGACGGACTATGCAGTCCGGCCCGCCGGGCCCGGCTTCCTCCCAATTAGGGTGAACAAACGAAGGAACGGCATTGACCATTGACCATTGCCATCATTGGCCATAGACCATTGACCCGGCTTCCTCCCAATTAGAGAGAAACAAACGAAGTACGGCATTGACGATTGACAATTGACGATTGACCATTGACGATTGACCATTGACGATTGACCATTGACAATTGACCATTGACAATTAACCATTGGCAATTGACGATTGGCAGTTGACGATTGACATGACAACTGACGATTGACAATTGACAACTGACGATTGACAATTGACAACTGACGATTCACGATTGACCATTGGCAATTGACAATGACAATTGACCATTGACCATTAACCCTACAAGCACTTTAGCACTTTACACCGGCAAAAAAGAGACCATTCTGATTCCTCCCTGGGGCTTCGCGTATCTCTCTCTCTCTCTCTCTCTCTCTCTCTCTCTCTCTCTCTCTCTCTCTCTCTCTCTCTCTCTCTCTCTCCTCGATCGACCGAGCCGCGAACGGCGGCGAACGGCGACCCTTGCCGGCGCGGCCGGCGAAGAGCACAGAGAGCGCTCTCGGCGCCGCCGCCGCGGCTTTCGGCCGATCGCGGTCGTGACCGCCGTCGCCACGAACGAAAGGTCCTGTTTGGTCACGTGAAGTGCACGTGCACGCCGAGACAAAAGAACGACAAAGACAGACAAAAGAAAGCCGCGGCCAGGCAAGCGGCTGCGCCGCGCGGCCCAGCGCGCGGTCCAGCACCGCCGACAAGCAGGCGGAGCGGGCACTCGAGAACAACGACCGATTCCGAGCGCAACTCGACTCCCGCGCGGCGCCACGCGGCGCCACGGCCTTGGCCGCGCCTTCGGGCCTTCGGGCCTTCGGGCCTTCGGCTTCCAATATCCCTTACAATGTATACGCGTTACATTATCGTGACAGCTCATCGGAATTAAGACCGACGGGCGGGCGGCACTGCGCGGCGCTGAGCGGCGCGGCTCTCGAATCGTCATTCCACGACTCTCTCACTCACTCTCCCGCACCGGGAGTCCGTAACCTTTGAGACGGATCGGGGGATCGGGAGACGGAGAGCCCGGGGTGATTGCCCGTAGTCACGAGAGCGGCGGCGCGGCTAGGCCAGACCCGCGTAAGTCCGCGCAGGCTGCGTCCAGGCGGTGCCCGCGTCGCTCCGCCTCTCTCGCACCTGCACGGGGCGGCCCGCGAGTGCGAGGGAGAAGGAGCCACGCGAGCACTGACTGTTCGCAGCGAGCCCGCCGGCCGCCGAGGTACGGCAGTTCCACCGCGCGTAATGTATTCACGGGGCGGGCGCGGCAAAGCAGGCAAAGCGGGCGAGGCCTTGGGGATCCCTGTCAACTGCTAGAGCTGCTCGCCGTCGGCGCCGCGGCCGCGCTGGTACTCTTGTTGTTCTTCCAGCTGACACCCCTGGCTGGCTGCCTGGCTGTTCTGCTCCTACACGTGTCACCTAGCATGAGCACAATGCAGCATGTGGCGGTTTGCATGGGTGCAATTGCTTTCATGTACAACTAGCGAGCATGCGGGGGGGGGGGGGGAGCGAGAGAGAGAGAGAGAGGGGGGGGGAGGCGGAGGGTGTGCAGGTGTGGGTGCAGTGCAGGGCCAAGCCAGCATGCCCCGGTCAAGGTCTTCCGTTCCGAAGGGCCGCCCCGGTGGCCCCCAAAGCGTGACGTCATCCTGGCCGGCCGGCCTGTTAACTGTATTCCAGAGCGCAGCCCAGCTGCTGCTTTTAATGCGCCCTCTTTAATGCCTTAATGCCCCGCTTCGATTATCGAGATCGTCGGGCCGCAGCGCCATCGCGTCGGTGCGGCCGATTCGGGAAGCACTGCAACCTCCGCGGAGACACACTGTCAGGGTAGATGCGTAGATAGGGGATGGGGCAGTGGCGTGGGGCGGGGCGGGGGTTCAGGGGACATGGACCCCCTCCCCTTTTTGGCACTAGACAGCCGCCTGAGAGCTAGGCGAATTGCGATACATTCCGCAAGGCAATTTTAATATTCTAGGACTCCACATGAAAAGTAGTGGCTTTTTTGTTTCTAGAGATGCTTTTACCGATATCAAGAATCAAAAGAACTCCATTCATTGTCGTAATGAAAATGCACTTGACCATTAGCAAGTAACCACTCTATGGACATGGGCCCACATTTTTGGGCCAGGGCCCGGCACCCTAATGCTCTGCACTGTCTTATTTGCTCAGAGAGAAAGTCCGCTGACCGCTCGCTGTGCAAGTGCACTCACTTCACTTGGAACCAACGGATCGCTGGACAGAACAGCTGCTCCCCCTGCTGCCGTGGAGGTGAGGGTCAGACTGCAGAACAAGTGTGGGGGCTGAAAGACACGGTAGAAGCGCTGTTTTGTTGTTGTTTTTCGTTGGCGAGCCGGCGGTGTTTGAGGCAACGAACTAATTGGCGCCAAAAACGTAATCCCGTAATCCCGTGATGCTGCCGTGCCGCGCGGCGCCACGCCCCAAAGCAGCAGGTGGAACGGTGGAACCACGCCACTGCCTCAATTAACGCGAGGGTCGCGGGGGATAGGGGAAAGTCCCGGCCGTCTGCGGGTCGAACCCGAACAGTGTTTTCGTCTCTCTCGCACCCACGCCGGGCGTCCCGTGAGGGTGCGAGAGAGACAGAGCGACGAGACGCAGTTCGGAACCATCTGGTTGCCTGCCGCGGTGTCCGCACACCCGCCCCCGCTCCCGCCTGCACCGCGAGCACGCCGGGCCCACGACCGGACGGCAAATTGGACTAGAACAAGGGGTCGCTCTGTCTCTCTCGCACTCGCCGGGCGCCCGGTAGGGGTGCGAGAGAGACAGGACGACGAATGGCGGTGCGGGATCGCTCAGCTGGCAGTACCAGGCAAATTGGCCTAGACCAAGGGGAAGTGTTCAACGCCTCCTATCCCCACTCCATTTTCCGCGCCACCGTCGTGCACCGCCTCCCACTCCCCTGGCGCCAAGGATTTTGGAATTCGCATTAGTACTTCGCGCCCTCGAGGTCAGTTATGACAGCGCGCCTCCAGCATTGCGTCGGCGATATCCGGCGGCCGCCGATCCGAATTTGATTGGCGCCGAGCCTCGACTTCGACGTCGACGTGCCGCGGAGTGCGGGTGGCCACGGGCGGGCTTAGGGGCGGGGAGACGCCGCTCTGATCCTAGAAGCAACTCGTCGAATATTTAACTCTTTGAACAATTAGGTGCATCTGCAGACTGATTACAAAGAGTTGTTTGTCGCTCTGTCGCACCTACACGGGACGCCCCATGAGAACGAAAGAGACAGAGCTACAGGGGTCGACAAAGATCACTGCGACGGGGTGGCGGCGCCCCTGGCGTTGACGCGTTGACGCCGACGGGGCGGACTGGGAAGCACAGGAAGTCCGCCGTGGTGGTGGCGCGGGGGGCTGGGCCAGGGCGCGGGGCCCGGGCGCGGGGCGCGGCGGGGCGCGTGGAGGGGGTGGGGGTGGTGGGGAGCCCCCCCGGGGACGCGGCCGCGCCGGCGGTATAAGAGGCGACCGGGGGCGGGAGGAGGCACAGTCCAGCATCAGGACTGCAGCACTCCACACAGGGCAACATGAACCGCAAGGTGAGTGCAGTGTAGTGAAAGAAAGTGAACCAAGCCAACTCAGGATAATTCACCCGCAGCAGTAAGTACAGTGTGCGCCGCGCCGGCCAGCTCCGCGTCGACCTCTCTGGAGGGGGTTTCGAGAACTCGAAGGTTCGAGAACTCGAAAATTCAAGAACTCAAAGGCTTGAGAACTTGATGGCTCGAGAGCTCAAAAGTTCGAGAACTCGAAGATTTCAGAACTCAAAGGTCTCAAAGGTTAGAGAACTCGATGGTTCAAGAACTCGAAGGTTCGAGAGGTCAAAAGTTAGAGAACTCAAAGTTTCGAGAACTCGAACCCGCGGCTTCAGCTACGCCATTCACCGCCGCGTCGCGGTCGGACATGTAAAGTGCCTCTTTGGAAAGCAAGTCGTTTGGGACGCGCAAAATTCCGCCAAAAGCCAGAGTGGAGCTCGGATTATTGAAGACGAAGACGTCACTCTTGCCGGCCGACGGGATGGCCGACGGGATGGCTGCGCGGTTGCGCAAGACCGCCGGGAACAAAGGGGTACGCGGGGCGGGGCGGGGCCGGTGAGGTAACATCATCCAGGCCTCCAGGGAGGGGCGGGGCGCGGAGCGCGGAGGGCCCAGGATGCGTTCGGGGCACTTGCCGGGAAAGCGGCACGGCGTTCATTGGCTCGGTAGCTTGCAGCTCTGGTTTTCACTATTTGGGTCAGGCCGTCGGGCAGCAGCGGTGCGGCGAGGGGCGACGCGGCACTAGCAAGACTGGCAAGACTGGCAGAAGCAGCGGCGCCGCGGATTTCGCAATTTTGGCGGCCGCGCCGGCCGGGGCGCCGCGGCCACGGTCTGCATGGAGAGCGGCCGGAGCGGGTCGCCCGGCCCATCCCGCTGCAGGGCCTGCAGATGGAGCGCCCCGACGGCGGCCTCGCGGAGAAAGCGGCCGGCTGCACACTGAGCGTCGCTCTGTCTCTCTCGCACCCACACGGGACGCCCCGTGAGTGCGTGAGAGACAGAGCGGCGAAAACGACTCTCGGAATCAGTCAGCTGATCAGCAAGCCGGGCTAGGCGAGGTCCAGGCGGAAGCGGAAGCGCCGGCCGCCATTTGGGGTCCACCGTGGCCCGGGACACGGCCGCGCGCGCGTGCTCGCGTGCGTGCGTGCGTGCGTCCGCGCCACCGCGCCGGGCCGACGCCAACGAGAGCGAGAGCGAGTCTGACTTCCCTCCGTTTCCTTTCGTCCGCAGGTATTGCTGCTGGCGCTGGCGGCGCTTGTAGCGGTCGCCGCGGCCGAGGAGCAGAAGGCGGTGGAGGCGGAGAAGAAGGAGGAGAAGGTGGAGGCGGCGGCCACCGAGGACAAGAAGCAGGAGAAGCGCGGCCTGCACGACCTGGGCTACGGCGGCGGCTACGGCGGCGGCTACGAGCTCGGCGGCAGCTACTCCCACATCGAGCGCGGCGACTACGAGCACCACCCCGTGCACCATGAGCACGTCAAGACCGTCACCGTCCACAAGGAGATTCCCGTCCCATACCCCGTGACCATCGAGAAGAAGGTCCCGTACGAGGTCAAGGTGCCCGTCGACAGGCCGTACCACGTGTCCGTCCCCAAGCCCTACCCCGTCACCGTTGAGAAGCCCGTGCCCTACGAGGTCAAGGTCCCCGTGCCCCAGCCCTACCACGTCACCGTCGAGAAGCACGTCCCCTACCCCGTCAAGGTCCCCGTCGACAGGCCGTACCACGTGCCCGTCCCCAAGCCCTACACCGTCGTCGTCGAGAAGAAGGTCCCCTACACCGTGGAGAAGAAGGTCCCCTACGAAGTCAAGGTCCCCATCGACAAGCCCTACCCCGTGCACGTGCCCGTCGAGAGGCACGTCCCCTACACCGTGGAGAAGAAGGTCCCCTATGAAGTCAAGGTCCCCGTCGACAGGCCATACACTGTCCACGTGCCCAAGCCCTACCCCGTCGTCGTCGAGAAGAAGGTCCCCTACACCGTAGAGAAGAAGGTCCCCTACGAAGTCAAGGTCCCCGTCAAGGTGCCCGTGCCCCAGCCCTACCCCGTGGAGGTCGTCAAGCACGTGCCCTACCCCGTGTACCACAAGGAGGAGCACCACGAGTACGGCCACGAGGAGAGCCACGGCCACTACTAGGCCTCTGCAGAGCGGCCTGCAGCGCAGGGAGTGCAGGCTTCGACGGGCACCCGACGCTCCAGCTCACAGGGGCGCCACCTTCTGCCCCGCGGACTGCCAGCGCCGGGCGCCCTGCTAGGGGCGGCCCTCCAGGGCACCGCCCTCCAGGGCAACGCCCCCAGCCCTTCAACTTGTGATCCTCGTTACCTTCACGTGTCATCCCCCCTCCTTCCCTCTACCTTCATCGCCCTCGCCCTGCGTCATGTCATCACCTTCTTCACCTCATCCCCCATCTCTCTCATCCCCCTCTTCATCCAAATGAGTAATATTTAAGTGGATAATATATAAATGTAAGTAAAATAAACGACTGAAACCTCCACATGAACCAACTCGTGCTGTTGTCTTTCCGGACGTCGCTACTTTCGCCCACCCGTGAGGCTAGGGTTTCCACCTCGGCCACTTCCTCTCGTTATGTCGATCGGTGGCGATGCGGTAACCTTGTTCCCGAATCAAGCATCGGCTGGAGCACAATCTCCCTCCGGAGGAAGAAAAAACGCGCGAGAAGCACTCAGTGCTGGACTAGGCTACTCGGCATTCGAAAAAAAAAACAAAAACAACAGGGACATGCAGTGCAGCAGCACTCCGGGGGGAAACCAACATTGCAATTCCTCGGCCGGATGCAGAGCTCACACCGACACGGCACCGGGGGAAAACTAACATTGCAATTCGAGGGACGGATGCCGCGCTCACGCCGACACGGCTCCGGCAAGCGAATTTCGCAAATGCACGTGGCCCCGACCCACACACACTCACTCACTCACACAGTCATCATGATTGCTTGTTACCGCAGGACGTGGGCCAGGCCCGGCCAGGCCGCGACGGGCTGGGCACTTCTCGGCCTGCTTCGCCTGCTTGGAGGCTTCGAAGGCCTGGCGGAGGCGCTCCGGAGCGCTCGCTGCTCTCTCGCAATGGAAAGCCTCGGCCCGCGCACGCACGCACGCACGGCCTGCAGCTCGCCGACGACGAAAGCCACGGCGATCTGTTCTCGCCTCGCCTCGCACCTGCACTGCACTCGTCTCTCCGTCTCTCTCGCACTCGCAGGGCGTCTCGCGAGGGTGCGAGAGAGACGGCGACTGAAGCATGCTGAAGCAGTGCTGCGGGGCCACGGACGAGGCGCCACATTAGCCGAGCCGACCCAGCACTACTCGCCAAAAAAGCCAAGAAAAAGGAGAAACAAAACGCAGCGGCCTTGCGCGCCGCGTTTTTCAGCCCCTTCGAAATCTAGGGCAACTTTGATCAATTTATCGACCCGATAAAAAATTGGCCGTAAAATTAGCGCGCGAGACTTCTTGGCGCTGCGCAGCGCGGCGGCAGCGCGTCACTGATGGAGTGCCTGGAGACCGATTCCGAGAGTCGTCTTCGTCGCTCCGTCTCTCTCGCACCGGCACGGGACGTCCCATGAGTGCGAGCGGGACGGGGCGACGAAAACGACCCTCGGAATGGTGTGCTGGCCGCGGCCGCTGAGTCGCTGACTCGGTCACTCGGCTCGGCCGCTCGGCCGCGCGGCTCCTTACCGCACCACATTCGTAACGACGACCACTTTCGAAACCAAGTCCGGACCACTGAGGCACTACGCCGTAGTGACTGCGGCGCCGGCGCCGCGCCAGGCCTACAATAACGCGCACCACCGCCGGCCGTCTGTCTCTCTCGCACCCCTACGGCCCTACGGGACGACCCGCGAGTGCGAGAGAGACAGAGCGAGGCGGGCCGCAGCGCCGCTTTATCATCGGGGACGCGCATAAATCAGGAACGCACCAAAGGTCAGCAAAAACGGGCAGGCGATAGTGCGCGCATTGTTCTCCCCGCTTCCCCGTCGTGCAGGCCGTCGTGCAGGCCGCGGCCTCGGCGCCTCGGCCGGGGAGGCTTTCGGCGGGCGACGCGTCGCACCGGCGCCACCCTTCTCTCTCGCACTCGCGGGGCGTCCCGCAGGCCCGCAGGGGTGCGAGAGGGACAGCGCGACGAAGCACTGTTCGGAGTGAACCTGCCGGACTGACAGGCGGCGGAAAGACTGGCAGGATATTGGCAGCCTCAGCCTCGACCAGAATGACGAAGTGCTTGTGCTGCTGTGCGCGCCGTCTCTCGGCGTGCAGCTTCCCCCCGTTAGCCCCGACGGCTCTCTCGGCCCAACCCAGCCCGAGTCCCATTCGGAACTCCCAAGATTCGGTTGAACTTAAGTTTAGCTGGGGCAGGTCGGGCCTCGGACGGCCGGGGCTCAAACGGGACGGGGCTCATGTCCTGTGGGTGAGCGCAGTGCCGGAGCGCCCGTGAGGCCCAGGGTAGGCAGCCCGCCACAACCAGCGAGCCAGCGGCGGCCTACCTGCAGGGCGCCCGTACCTGCCGTGCCCCTTCCCCGGCCGCCGAAAGCGAGCTATTTTTAATCCAAACTGGCGGAGTGAGTGGGAAAAGAGAGATTCAGGCCGCGGCCGGCGGGACGGCCGGGGCGGCAACGCAGTCATGTGCAACCGTAATCATGATGGAGGAAGCCGTTTAGCACGTCAACAAGTACGAGCGGCAGGCCGGCCGGCGCGCGGTGACCGCAGCAGCCAGTAATGAAAGGGTCTTCACCAGGCGCGGTGGCGGTGACCACACCGGCAGCAGCAACGCTTCCTGGCCGACGCGAAGACCCATGGGAAGGCGATGAACAGCCTGGCGGTGGCGGCGGCAGGGTCGTCGCGTCGACGGCGCGCTCCCTTCGCCTCCCGCGCGCGTTCAGGTCTCCGGCGGCGCGTTTGCGGGGCGTCGACGACGGCGAGGTTCAACGACGACGTGTATCAACGACATGGTTCAACGACGGTGCGGTTCAACGATGGTGTGGTTCAGCGACGGCGCGGTTCAGCGACGGTGTGGTTCATCGACGCCGCTGTTCAACAACGGCGCGGTTCAGTGGTGGCGGGGTTCTGCGACGGCGCGGTTTAGCGACGGCGCGGCTTAACGCGGCCGTTGGCGCCCATTCGGCCAGGTGATTGTTGAAGCAAGGACGTGTATTATGCCTGATGGGCCGGGCCGTAGCGAGCCCAGCCGTCCTACTCACCCCGCGACCCCCTCGCCGTTACATAATTCATGCACAGAGCGGGGCACTCATCCTCCCCGGCCGCGAGCGACACTGCACTGCAGACTCATTTTCGTGTTTTCGACGAGTCGTTTCGTTGCTCTTTCTCCGTCGGACTTTGTGGGCCACCCGCACGGTTGCGAGAGAGACAGAGCGACGAAAGCGATTCTTCGGATCAGCCGGCTACGCGCTACGCCACTGGTAAGGGGCGTGGCCAAGGGCGCCCCACCTGACTGGTGTCTTTTGGCGCGCGATTTGGCACGAGTCTGGCGCCTGCTAGGACCGACAGGTGGTGCCCGCCTATCACCAGGGCTGCCAGGGCCGACACCTCTCTCTCTCCCTCCCGTCTCTCTCGCTCCGCTAACGACCACTTTTCAAAAACAGGCGCGACTCCAGCCAGAAAAAGAGAATCTGAATCGAGCACGCGTGGTGGTGGGGGTGCCCCTGACGGAAACTCTTTGGTAAATAGAGTACTAATCTATCTCAGCCAAATACCAGTGCGCGATCCTCGCGCAGTATGATATAGTACGGTACTATTGGTTTTAGATAAAAATATTTTTGTTAACAGTTTATAAACCCTGGTTACTTCACTCGCGGAGCCAGGAAGACTACTTCGGCCCTCCACGCCGCCCCAGCCTCAGCCCTCTCTTCTCCCCCCGGGCGTCGAATGGGTTGCCTATCCAACGGGAGCAGCACGGCTGCCGCGCGGCGCCCGCCACACTGGCAACCCACCTGGCGTGCGGGGGAGGGGGGAGTGAGAGGGAAGGGGGAGGGGGCGGGGAGAGGAGGGGCACCGCGAGGGCAACGCCTGGCCGCGCCGCGCGTCAGGGCGCTCGAGCTGCGGTCAAGGGCAGCTCGACTGTACAAGTACTAGTTACAGTGCACCGGGCGGCTCGGCTACAAACACCATCTCCTCCTCCTCCTCCTCAGTCAGCGTGCACCAAAAAGTGCATCCCACTGCACCGAAAGCAGCGCCGCCGTCCAGCTCACTACAATGGCAAGGCAGTGAAGACCACTGGAAAATAAGGGGGGGGGGCTAGGACGAGTGGATAGCGTTACTGAGTAGGCTCTTGTCCTTTCACCGCTGCACTCTTTGCGCAATGCAACCACTCCCCTACGCACGCCTCACCCCGCCCCGCCCCGCTGTGGAGCCGCCACGGAGCACCGCCACGACCCACTGAATATTGTGGATAAGTGATTGTTACTTCTTAGCCTGCCTGCCTGCCTGCGTGCGCGTCCTTGTGACGAATCGAGATGCGGTCTTTCTAAGCGTGCGCACGCATACTCTCACACACGCTCGCATTCACGCACGCGCGTGCACACACACAGACATTCACTCACGCGCGCGCACGCCGCACGCTCGCATTAGCGCACTGACAACTTAATCCCTGACGTCCGAACGGGACAGGTGTCCATTCCAGGGTCATTATACCCACAACATCGGCGCGGCGGTCCCTCGGCCGGCGCGGGTAGTACGCCCGCCCCACCGCCGGGGCGCCCGGCTCCTCGGTGTCTCGGCGGCCTGCAGACTCATTCCGAGAGTCGTTTGCGTCGCTTTGTCCCCCTCGCACCTACAGGGGACGCCCGTGAGTGCGAGAGAGACACAGCGACGAAAAGGACTCTCGGAATGAGTCTGCTGCTGCAGGTCCACGTCGTCGGCGTGTGCGATAGATGGTATCATCCTGATCGGCAGGCAGGCTGCGCGGCGCGCTGCGCGCTCGGCTCGCGTTTCAGCGAAACCTTCCCAGATTCCGGCCCGGGCCTGCGGGCTTTCGTCGCTCTGTCTCTCTCGCGCCCCAGCGGGCCACCCCACGAGTGCGAGAGAGACACAGCGGGCGCGGCTCGCGTGCGGTCCGCTGGCCGCGCTCTGGACCGCCTTGATGCTGACGGCGTATTTGCCGCAGCGCAGTGCGGCGCAGCCGTGCCCCCCGTTTTGCAACTGTCTCTCCAGCGTCCGCAGCCCCTCCCCCTCCCCCCCCCCCTCCTCCCGCCGGCGCTGCACCGCGCCACACCGACCGCTGCACACACGGCTGGACTTGGCAAGCGGCTGCCGTCCTACGCCGCCGCCGTGCCTGCAGCCAGCAGACTGATTCCGAGAGTCGTCTTCGTCGCTCTGTCTCCCTCGCACCTGCACGGGACGACCCATGGAGTGCGAGGGAGACAGAGCGACGAAAACGACTCTCGGAATCAGTCTGCAGCTAGCCGAGCGAGTCACTTCGTCGCTCTGTCTCTGTCGCTCCGCCGCAGAACGCCCCGTGAGTGCGACAGAGACAGAGGACTTCTCGGAATCGCTGGCTTGGCTTGGGCTCTGCTTGTGGGCGGCGAGGGGGCGGCGTGGGAACGGCGGCGGCGCCCCAACTACTAGTGTAGCAGTGTGGCAGTGCAGCGCCCACTGTGCAAACCAAAGCGCGCCACTTTGTCTCGAGCTGAGCGGTTTCGTCAAGACGCGGCCCGAAAATTAGAAATTAGCCATGGGCGCCGTTTCGTTATTTTCAGTGGAACGGCCAACAACGGCCGCCGACTTTGGGAAAGTCCACACCTCCGCTGGCGGCGTGTGTACATGCTGCTACATCATGGCAGTGCTCGCGCGAAATGAGTTCAAAACGTTGGCAGGTGCTCATACGCATTACAGAATAACAATCCAAAGTAAATTTTAAATCCAAGTTTTTCTGCGCAAAGCTTATCTGTAGCCGTTTACGAGGTAGAGGCACCCGAAATCCCAATAAGTTAGCGCACCCTGCAGGCAACACTTTGACTTTTCCGTCCCTCCTTGGCGCGCGCCTTGGCGGGGACAGCTCGGCTGCCGGCCGCTGAATGATGGCCCAGAGATAGGGCGATGTCGCGTGCACTCCTTGCAGTGCGTCGTCCTTGCGGTGCCGGTGATGTCACTCGCCTCGAAGCTCGTTTGCACGGATTACACGGACGGCGGCACTCGGGCGTGAAAACGCGTTGCCGGGGCAAGGATGAGACGAACTGGACCACGCGGACCGTGCGGCACCGGTCGTCGCTGTCCCTCTCACCCAACAGGACACGCGGAGTGCGAGAGAGAGAGACAGAGCGACGGGAGTGCTGTTCGGAATCAGTCTGGATCGCCGACACGTCGTCGCCGCCGCCGCCACTGCTACTTTTTTAACGCGCAGAAGAACAAGAACCCGACCTGCCCGTTCGCACAGTGCTGCCGCCAGTGTAGGAGTTAACCGCCGTTACTCCGCGCACCAGAGACTGCCGGCGTGGCCCCGACCGCCAAGTGGCAGCCCTCGGCGCTACCCCGGTCACTCCGGACGTCCACGGCGTCCCCGTCACGCCGCCGCCGCGGCCTTCCCCGCCGGCGATTAGAAGGCGTCGCGACGCCACCCTGCGGACTGATTCCGAGAGCCGCGTACGTCGCTCTGTCTCTCTCGCACGCATGCGGAACGTCCCATGAGTGCAAGAGAGACAGAGCGACGAAAACGACTCTCTGAATCAGTCCGCCTGGTCGGCGGGGCACGATTTCGCGTGGCGTTTAGCGTCCCGGCCGCTCGCCGCTCGCCGCCATGACGCTGCCGTTCTCGGCGGCCACGCCGCCACGCCGCCAGGCCACTGCAAATGAGCGGATAAGCCATATTGGCGCCACGGTCCGAACTGTTCACTTTCGGGCGCAAAAAACAAAATCCCGTAGAGAAGGCCGTCCAGGCGGGCAGCGTCCCAAGTGACTGCCCCGCTGTGGGTTTTGTTGTTTTGTTGTTTTTCTCGTTGCCGCGCTGCCGCTGCACGTCCAGTCCTATTGCCAGACGACCACGTTGGCCAACCGGCGCTGCTCAGCCTGCCCGCCTGCCTGCCCGCCCTGCCCGCGAAGGAAGCATTGCCGAAATTCGGACTACCACGCATGTGTGAGCGCGCGAGCCGGCGGACGAGAGACGAGAGATAGGCGGGCGCGGAGGGCGCGCGGCCGGCGGACGACGCGGACCCTCCCCGCCGCCGCCATCGCCGACGGCGACCCCGCGAGGAGCAGGACGACGTCGTAAACGGCCCCCTCAATTAAACAGCGAAATGCGCCGCCGCCGTCGAACCGGCGATGCATTCCGTTTGGCGGCGAGGGTTGTTTGCTCCTAAACGAGGCGCATTGGCATATCGCCGGGCCGCGGGCCGCGGTGCACGCCGCGCGTTGCGACAACACACAGAGCAATAATAACAATAATACGGGCGGCGCGCTCCAAGGCCGCGGCGTGCGCCGGTGAAGGTCGCCGTCAAGGCCGCCGAGGCCGAGCGCTCTCCCTCCCCACCCCACCGGCGCCGCGCCGCGCCGCCCCCACCTCGAGGAAGTCCGCGGCGGGCTGCGGCGGCGGCACTGACGGACAGCGCGGACGGACTGACGGCGAAGGGACCGCCCTTACGGAGTAGTGCCCTTTGGCGGCGTGAGTGGCCGTCGGACGCCGTCAAGGCCCTTCGGCCCTTCGGGGGGAGTTCGACGACCTCCCCGCGGCCGGAGAGTGAGGGCGTCAGCCCGCGTCAGCCCGCGTCGGCCCTGCAAGGACACGCCAATGAGACGCGTGTCATCGCCAAGTCATGGCGGCGCCTCCTACAAGCAGTCCGTCTCCATGCACGGCGCGCAGTCCCATATAGACCAGCGTGAAGCAAGGCCCGCACTTGCTGTGTGAATACTAACAACGCCCTGCGCGCGCACACAGACACACGTCATAGACACACACATACAAAGGCATGGACACACACACCAACACGAACACACGTGGGGCAGATGGGAAAGGGAGCAGCAGGCAGACACGACGTGTCGATAGGTCCCGGTACGGTTCCCACCCGGCCGGCCGGCCAGCCGGCTGGACCGACCGACACAGTGCCGTGCCGACACGTTGGCCAAGGCGTTCGCGTTCGCAACACGACGGCGCCTGACTGCCGTGACGCACTCACGTCTCCCTTTCCATTAAAAAGCACATTTCGGCACGCTATCAAGGTTCGAAATGAATGCAGACCGGCAGGGATGGAGAGGGTTCTCCTGAGAATCGCCGAACTGTGTATATCAGCATGGCGGTGGCCAATCGGACGAGCCAGCCCGCAACACAGGACTGCCTACCCTGTGATGTGCAGGGGCTCCAACAGCGCCTGCAAGAGGGCAGATAGGCCGACCCGCAACACACTGATGCGTAACAGAACTGCCTACCCTGTGATTCGCAGGGGCTCCAACAGCGCCTGCAACAGGGCAGATAGGCCGACCCGCAACACACTAATGTGTAACAGGACTGCCTACCCTGTGATTCGCAGGGGCTCCACAGAACAGATAGGCCGACCCGCAACATACTCATGTGTTACAGAACTGCCGACCCTTTCATTCGCAGGGGCTCCGCGCCTGCCACAGGGCAGGTAGGCCGTCCCGCGACACACCGATGCGTAACAGGACTGCCTACCCTGCGATTCGCAGGGGCTCGCCCTCTGGGTGAACCAACCCGGCACAGACAGATGCAACACACAAGGACTCCGTGACCACGGCGAGGTGCGGACGCCACTCAGCATGATTTACATTGCCAATCACTTTGCCTCGTGATAGTCCCGCCCCGCCCCGCCCCGCCGTGCAATACGAGCGGGCTTCCCAGTACATGCAACGTTGCACAGATGCAAAGTTTGAGGCGATAGTGCGCGACAGCAGACTGATGCCGAACAGTCGTTTCGTCGCTCCGTCTCCGTCGCTCTCGCGGGCCCTCTCTTGAGGGTGCGAGAGAGACAGAGAGCGACGGCAGGGCCGGCCGCCCATTCCCGCGCCGTGCATTCATTGTTCGCTGTGAGCCAACATCCCATTTCGATACGAGTCTCTTCTTGTGTCCAGCCCGTGGCGCGGCGTGGCGTGGCGCGGCGTGGCGTGGCGCGGCCAGGCCTTTCGGGATTGGCCTGCTGGGGATCCGCGACCCGAAACACACTCGGCTCAGTTCACCAGCCCCAGATCAAACCGGGAGGGGCACGGCGGGGAGGGGGCAGCAGGGAGAATAGGGGCTGTGCTTCGCGGCTCCGCGGCGCCGCGGCAAGGGGGCGGTGCGGGGAGGGGCGCGGCCGGGCGGGGGGAGCAAGACAGTGATTGTATAAAAGCGGTGGCCGGCCAGCGCGGTGGAGTCAGTGTCGTTGCGGACGATCTCCAGCCATCAGCAGCACCATGAGGATCATGAGGAGCACGGTGAGTCTGCCGCGGACGCATTGTTCGCGCAGCGACGCGCATCGTGCAAAGTGACAACCCTCTGCGCCTCCGCCACCGCCAGGACTCAAAGGAATACCAACCCAGTGCTAGCAGTGTCAAGTGTGAACCGCCTGCAGTGCCGCTCGATCAAGGTCGCCACTGCGATCCCCGAATCCCGACCGCCAAAAGTGACCGTCGTCGTCCCCTGACGCAATCCGCTTCGTGTTCGTCGTTTTTGAGCCCCGCCAGTGCATCGGCTTGGCCGCCAAGGCCGCGCTCCGACCCGGCTGATCACATATGGATCGCGGCCCACTTTCCCAGCCGGCACGGCCAGCACGCAGTGCAGTGCATCATATCATCCCTGCGGCGTGTCGTCACCGAGTGTGTCCGCGAGCGCGCCCGGCGACGCGACGCCGTCTTGCGGTTTAATTTCCCCCCCCCCCCCTCGCCCCGGTCCGCCCGGCCGGTCAGCGCTACTCGGATAACGAGGCAGCAGTCGATGGCGCTCCCAATGGAACTCGATCTCGACATCCAGAAGGACGCGCGCGGCGCTGCACTGTAATTGCGCCGGTAAAGGGTCTCGCAGTGTGGCAGCCTCGCGGTGCAGCGGCCTCGCAGTGTACCAGCCTCGCAGTGTGCCAGCCTCGCAGGACCGCGAAGGGCTCCGCTGCTTGCGACAGACCCATCGGCCCATCCCTCGGCCTCAACCTGCCCCAGCCCGGCCGGCAGACGAGTAGGGTCGTGCGCTACGGGTCCTCCGTGTCGGCCTCGATGGAGAGGACGCGGCGCAGCCTGGCGGTGGCGGCGGTCTCTCCCGCTCCTCGGCCGCAGCATCTGCCGTCCGGTCGGCCCGTCCGACGCCGGCGGCGGCACGCTGCCCTGCGCGGCCGTCCGGTCGACGTCCGGCCGTGCTGCCCGGCGCCTCCTGGAGGAGTGCGTCTTCCTGGCGCTTCGGCAGTGTGAACAAACTTGCCGCTCTCCCGCGCTAGGCGCCATCCTCCAGTTCAGCTCGCCGCCGGCGCCGCCACCGCCACCAGCCAAAACACTATAGACGCGTTTTGAGCTCCAGACTGTGGAGTCCAGAGTCGCTAAACAGGACTCGAACCGAGCGTGTGACCCCATCAATGGATTCCTCGCTCGGAGAGCAATCCATTTGTGGGGTCACACGCTCGGTTCGAGTCCTGTTTAGCGACTCAGGAGCCCAAAACGCGTTTGGGGTCTTGACCGCCTCCACCGGTCCTCTGGACCACTGTGCGTCCACGGTCCGCGCCGAGCCGCCCCGTTTGGCGGCCACCCCCGCGGCCCGCTGCCGTCCCTAAGGGCGGCGTGAAGGATGGTGCCATTGTCTCGGCGACCTTGTCGTGCTGCAGCACTGCAGCGGCGCTGCGGCGCCATGCACGCGATTTACGGCGCTGAACCGCGGCGCCTCGGCTTGCAACACTTTTTGATTTACGCGCGCCGCGGAGGGACCGACGGCCTGCGCACCCCATTTGTTGTTCGATACCTCGTCGTTCGATAGCTCGCGCCGTACCGAGAGCACCGAGAGGCCAGGCCGACTGATTCCGAGAGCCGTTTTCGTCGCTCCGTTTCTCTCGCACCTGTACGGAACGCTCCATGAGTGCGAGAGAGACAGAGCCCGGGACACGACTTCCCCCTCCGTTGCAAAACCCGCTTGAACTTAAGCCCTGCGCGCTGCGTTCGCACGCCACGCCGCGCCGTCACGCCGAGTACTTTATCTGAAAAGTCTCTGGGGCGTAGGGTGCCTCCCCCTCCCTCGCGTCTGTGTCTTGGCACCGCGGCGGTGCGTGTGCGTGTGTGTATGTGTGTGTTTGTATGTTTGTGTCATGGCGGCGTGAGCGAGCAGGGTGCCCCCTCCCCTAAAGGTGGGGCGAAGTACTAGTTGGCAAGACTTCTGCTCGCCTCGGCACACACACTGCCTCGCCGCCACGCCCCAGCGCGCCACGAAATTTGCAATAACAAGTGGCGTGGTGCGCGATACCAATTCTTTTGCCAACGACCAGCCGACTAACCCGGCCACTTCTCTTGCCCGCAGGTGCTCGTGGCAATGGTGGCGGCGGTGGTGCTCGCCGAGGACGCCAAGCCGGCCGAGAAGAAGCAGGAGAAGCGCGGGCTGGTGGACGTCGGCTACGGCTACGGCGGCCTGGACCACGGCCTCACCAGCCACAGCTACAGCAGCCTCGACCTCGGCGGCTACGGCCACGGCGCGCACTCACACCACGAGACCGTCAAGACCGTCACCCTGACCAAGGAGGTGCACGTGCCCTACCCGGTGCACCACGTCAAGAACATCCCCGTCCCCGTCAAGGTGCCCTACGACGTGCCCCGCGCCATCCCCGTCGAGAAGCCCTACCCCGTGCACCACGTCAAGAACGTGCCCGTCCCCGTGCACGTCAAGGTGCCCGCCCCCTACCCCGTCCACGTCGAGAAGAAGATCCCCGTCCCCGTCAAGGTGCCCTATGACGTGCCCCGCGCCATCCCCGTCGAGAAGCCCTACCCCGTCTACGTCACCAAGGAGGTCCACGTGCCCGTCGAGAAGATCGTCCCCTACCCCGTGCACGTCCCCGTCGAGGTGCCCAGGCCGTACGAGGTCAAGGTCATCAAGGACATCCCCGTGCCCGTCGAGAAGCACGTGCCCTACCCCGTCAAGGTGCCCGTCGACCGCCCGTACCCCGTGCACGTGCCCCAGCCCTACCCCGTGCACCACGTCAAGAACATCCCGTACCCCGTGGAGAAGACCGTCCCCTACCCGGTCGAGGTGCCCGTCAAGGTCCCCGTGCCGCAGCCCTACCCCGTGGAGGTCGTCAAGGAGGTGCCCGTCCCGGTGCACGTCAAGCAGCACTACGACCACGGCCACTACGGCCACGACTACTAGAGCAAGACTGTGATCCTTCATCCTTCATCCGCACGCCATCACGCGCCATCACGCCATTTGTACATTTCGCACCTCATCGTGAAACTCTCCTCTTTCACCTGATAGCAAAGTCGACAGTTTCACCGCCAGCATCTCATGCCGCCGCGCCGAGCGAGTCTCCCTCGTCCTGGACCGAGGACGCGTCCGGGGACGAGAACGGGTGTAAATAAATAAATGAATGAACAAATCAAAGATAATAAATGAGACGATAGGTAAGAGAATGGCGCGCCTCCATTTCTTCCCCGGCCCTGCACTCGGACACACGCACCAGCAAACAGCACGCGAGCACTAACGTGCACACACACTCACACAGACACACACACAGACGTTGTTGCGGCACTGGCGAACAAAGGGCGGCCGATGACGGTGTCCGCGAAACAAGAAAACTCTCAGAGCAACAAGGAGTCGTTCTCACCCAAGTCGGGCCCAGGCCAGCAGATTCCGGGAGTCGCGTTCGTCTCTCCGTCTCTCTCGCACTCATGGAGCGCCCCGCACTGGTGCGAGAGAGACAGGGCGACGAAAACGACTCTCGGAATCAGTCTGCAGGCCGGGCTCGCGCATGACACAATGCTGCGCGCTGCGCCGAGCGCTGCGCCCTGATAGGGCATCCCATTAGACTCGATCCCTGGAGGCTCGTTCCGAACGGCGCGGCTTCGTCGCTCTGTCTCTCTCGCACCCCTGCGGGTCGCCGGGTGAGTGCGAGAGAGACGGGGCGACGAAAGCACTGTTCGGAGTTGGCCTCCTGACCGGCGGGCCTCATTGGCCGTTTGCAAAACGGCTCCATGCGCTCTGTGCTCCAGGTATGGCGAGCGCTGCAGACTGATTCCGAGAGTCGCTTTCGTCGCTCTGTCTCTCTCGCACTCATGGGGCGTGCCGTAGAGGTGCGGGAGAGACAGAGCGACGAAAACGACTCTCGGAATCAGTCTACTGCACAACACTGGCGGAGGGCGGGCCGCTGGCGGTGCAGCGCGGGCCGAAGACGAAAATGAGACAGTCGTTGGTGCTGCAGTTCTGCAGTTCCGCCCGCGCTTTCACAACAACGACGGTCCGCGCTCCGCACTGCGCGCACACGAGGCCGACCGCGGCGCCACGCCACTGGCAGCCACGCCACTGGCCGCCACGCCTCGCCAGGCGAGTCGGCTTATTATTTCGGCATTGCGGCGCGACCTTGCGGGCCGGGCCTTCCAGTGCAGGTCCTGCAGGACGCGGACGGAGGACAGACAAGGACGGGGCTTTCTTCAGCTGCCTAATCTCCTTGCCCCCCCCCTCCCCCTCCCCTCCCTGCAGTGCGGATCCACCACGGCGCCGCGCGGTCATGCGTGCCGCTATGCCACTGCAGGCCCTGAAGGCCCCGAAGGCCGTGGGGGCGAAGCGCAGACGTCGAAACCACCGACGCCGCGGACGCCGGCGGTAACGGTTACTGGTCACTCACTTGATGTAGGGGATGTTGGCCGGGACGTGGAACTTGGCGCCGGGGTCGAAGTCGAACTCGGACCGCAGGAACGGCGGCTTGATGCCGGAGTAGCGCTCCCTGCAGAAAACAGAGGCGGTCAGGGCAAAATCCTTACAGAAAAAAGGCAAAATGTAAAAAAATAAACTTTTAGAAAAAGAAAGTTTTTATACAAAATGAGAAGCAAACTTCCTGAAAAATTAAATTTTCTATAAAATTTATAAATATTAAATTTTAATAAATCCAATAATCCTGCTTGTAGTGAGTGAGGCCGGCCGTGGCGTACCTCAGGAACCAGTAGTGGCAGTTGTACTGGTCCTTGCTCTTCCTCTTCTGGAACACGTCCCAGCGCCACTTGTCCAGAGCCAGGCTGAAGGGCAGGAAGGGCAGCTTGTCCAGCGCCAGCGCGAACAGGAAGTTGATGTTGTGGGGCAGGTCGTCGACGGCCGTCTGCACCAGCCCCAGGGCCTGCAGGTGCCGCGGGGTGGCCACGGACAGCGAGATGGCCTCGCCCACCGCCTCGTGGAAGCCTGCGCGACAGAACGACAGCGACACCACTCGTCTTCAGCAGTGACACTCAAATTCTTGGAAACTCAATCAGGACTTAGTACTTAGAGGAAGCAGATTATGTTTTTTCAACAGGATGTTTTTACACAAATTTTTGAACCGACAAAGGAACAACAGGACGTGGAGTTACAGGGCAGTTGTTGGCTTTACTAAAGCAGCGGCCTATAACTAACGCACTCCGCAGACAGTGCGTCTGCTTGGATCAGTGCTCGCTCTAATTGGAATGAGCAATCAGGGTTCGGGGTCGGCACAGACCAGACAGTGTGCTGGACATCGAGGCCCTCTTCCCTTGGCCTGGAAATGCGCGTCGAGCCGTCGCGCCGCCAGCAGCCTGATTCTGAGAGTCGTTTCCGTCGCTCTGTCTGTCTCTATCGCACTCATGGGGCGTCCCTTCGAGGTGCGAGAAAGAGAGAGACAGAGCGACGAAAACGACTCGCGGAATCAGGCTGCTGGAGCACTGCGAAAAGCGGCATCGCGTGCTGGCCGTGCTGGCGCACTCCAAGCAAAGTGTAAGGCCGAGGGGGATGAGCCAAGCGCCGCCGGCCGGTCGCTCTGTCTCTCTCGCACTCGCGGGGCGTCGCGGGGCTGCGCGAGAGAGACCGAGCGACGAAAGCGCTGTTCAGCCTGCCCTCCTAAACCGCGGGGACTCGACAGGAATGTGACTTTTAAGCCGCGCTGCCGTGGGCGAGTCTGGCGAGGCGCGCCAAACAAGTAAGTGCACTCGGTGAAGCGAAGGCCGGCGCAGCGGCGGACGACGCAAGTGCTGGACGCAAAAACCGCGAGGCGAGAACTCTGCACTGGCGGGAAGGCCGAGAACTGGGAACGCCAGCGCCAGCCAGCCTGGGGGCAGTGGACTGCAGTTGACTACGTACTGGACGGAGCGGGCCGTGCGCGGTGCAGCGGTGCGCCTAGCGGGTAGGCAGCCCAAGTAACTCGAAACGAGAGTGAGAGTGTTCGTCCCGCGCCCCGAGGCAGGCCACCCATCGTGCAGCAGACTGATTCCCAGAGTCGTTTTCGTCGCCCTGTCTGTCTCTCTGACTGGACGCCCCAAGAGTGCGAGAGAGACAGAGCGACGAAACAGCTCTCGGAATGAGTCTGCTGAGTGCCAACGGTCGTGGTTGGCTCGCCGGCAGGGTAGGCAACCCATTCAGCGCGGTTACGCAACAAAAAGGGAAGCCCCAAGGACCGTGCGCCGCCGTCCTGGTAGGCCGCCTCTCTTACCGGGGTTGGCGCCGTCGCGGTACACCTTGGGCAGCCTCTTGTACTCCATGAAGTACTGCACGTGGGCCATCTCGTGGTGCGCCGTCACCAGGTCCATCATGTTGACGTGCGTGCACATCTTGATGCGGTAGTCCTTGCGGTTGCAGAAGTCCCAGGCGGAGGGCTGGCACACCACCACCCTGGCGGGCGGCTCCTCGATCACCGAGTGGCTCCAGAACTCGGCCGGCATGGCGCTCATGTTCATGGACGTGTAGAACTCCTCGGCCAGCCGGAACATGGCGGCCGGCGTGTAGCCCTGCAGTCACACAGCGAACAGTCATGAAGAATTTGTGTTGTGATGTGACAATTTCCTATACTTGTGTACACGAGTTTGTCATAACACTTTCCCCTGTAGATTATAAGAATGCTGTGCTTCTATCTGGAGCCTCCATACCAGAATGTCCTGCCTTCCCTCTCCGGTTCACTCACAGAGCTGTGCGAAGGTGAATACACTGGAAACTGAACCTCTCTACATCGTGTGCTTTTTGGAGACAAACTAACCCTTCCCAAGTATAAAACCTCTAATTACGATGAGAAGCTTTCCCTTTTCGTGAGTCAAAGTCCACCAAAAAACTGCCACTCACCTGGGCGGCCATCTGCGGCCCGACGTCGAGGAAGTTTTTGCCGGGGTACGGGATGGTAATGTCCAGAATGTTGCTCCACGACTGCGCCCACATGTTGCCTGGAATCGCAAAGCCACAGCGTTAATTCTGGGAGAAAACAGCCAGTTTCAGAGTGAGGCGCTCGAAGTCGGGGTCTCTGAACTTTTGCTAGAAATGAACTTATTCATTTCCCACGCGGTTCTTGGTCGAGCGCGTCGCATCGCGGGATGTGTTGTTCCTGCAAAGCCGAAACATATTGAGGCGTCGGCCTCGGGGCGACGCGAGCGACACACGAGCGGGCCGACAGCGTCGCCGAGACATCAGTCCAGCTTGACGCACTTCAAGGCGACGAACGCAACAAGGCAGACGGTCGGTGGCGGCGAGGCGGCGTGGCGGCGGCACGGGTTGACGGCAGTTGACAATGCGAGGTCCGAGGTCCGGGCAAGGTCGCTCCATTGTCAGGCGGCCGTGCCCGCTGCTTTCGGACATACCCCTCGCGACAGCGCCGCAAAGCCGCAAGGGGTATGGACGACGCGCGGTGACTAGCAGTGACGCAACGCGGCGGGCACCCCGCGCATGGCATGCGTCTCCACTTCGAGCCGCTTCATTTTCGTCGCTCTGACCTTGTCGCACTCGTGGGGTGTGCCTGAGGGGTGCGAGAGAGACAGAGCGACCGGCGGCAGATCTGTTTATTCGCGGCCGATCGCGCGAGCAAAGCAAGTGAAGCGTTCTGGAACCACTCGGCATTCATCAGCCTGGGTGCGTGCGTGGCGTGGCGCGGCGTGCCGTGGCGTGGCCGCCGTGCCCAGCACGCGAGTAACATCTCCAGCTCCACTTCCTCCTCGCCGCCTGCAGGCTGATTCCGAACAGTGGCGCTTGGTCGCTCTGTCTCTCTCGCACCCTTACGGGGCGCCCCGCGAGTGCGAGAGAGACAGAGCGACGAGAGCGCCTGGAATGTCCAGTCCGGCCGAACGCTATGGGAGTGGAGGCGTCCAGGCCAGGCGGCCGTGGCACTGCTAGCGCTGCTTGGCTGCTTTACGCTCCGACGGCTGGATAAGTACTCGACGGGCTGGAGTGATTGTGCGGACGACGGGGCGACGGGGCGCCGGGGCGACGCCGTGTTATGGTCACGTACGATCCAGCGCACCCAGTACAATGCGAGTCGGGGATGGGCGTGGACGGGGACCGAGACGGGGACCGTCTTGACGGCCTTGCGGACCTCGGGCCGCGCGCTCACGCCTGCTCCCAGCGTCCTTCTCGTCGCTCTGCCTCTCTCGCACTCATGGGGCGTCCCGTTCAGGTGCGAAAGAGACAGATTCTCGGAATCAGTCTACTGACTGGCTTGGCCGCGGCCAAGGTCTCGGAGACAGTGCCACTGGGGGATTTTGGGGACATACTTTTGGAGCAGGACGTCCCACAGGGTGACTTTGATTTTCGGAGACTTTGACGCGCACTGGGAAAAGGGTGACTGAGGGCCACAGCGGACATGCATATGAATGTGGTAGGCTAGACCAGGGGCGACAGTGATGTTGGGGGGTCGTTAACGTGAACGTTACCAAGGCCAGGGCACGCAGCGCTCGTCCGTCGCGATGGTCGCGCGCTTGCGGCGGGGTGGGCGTGCCGGGCGTGCGTGCGCTAGGTCTCGGTTTGGCGGCGGGCACCAGGACGGCCGCCACGCGGCGCGCATACGCCACGAGCCGCGCGCACGCGACGAGGGCGCTTGGCTGCGCTTGGCTCGCCTCGCGGTCCAGAAGCATGGAGTGGTCGGCGACGTGCCGCCCATGCCGGGGCAGCAGGCTGGCTGATTCCGGGAGTCCTTCTGTCTCTCTCGCACTCATGGGGCGTCCCGCAAGGGTGCGAGAGAGACAGAGCGACGAGAAAGACTCTCGGAATCGGTCTCGAGACGGGCTTGACCGGGGGCTTGGCGCGGGCATTGCCATGTGGGCTCGGCCCGGCGCACTGTTCCCGACAGGCCGATTCATTTCGGAGAGGAAGTCGGACCGCGGGAGTGTTTTCGAGCTCTGTCTCTCTCGCACCCCTCCGGGACGCCCCATGAGTGCGAGAGAGACAGAGCGACGAAGAGGACTATCGGAATCAGTCTGCTGGCGGACACGTACGGCGGAAGGCGGGAGGGCACTGCCCCGGGAAAGAGGCGAAAACCAAACAGAGCAATGCACTCATTACACGCAATGCGTTGACAGTGTAGGCCGATTCCGCGCCGCCGTCGGTCTCTCTCTCTCCCACCCACGCGGGACGCCCCGCGAGTGCGAGAGAGAGGCCTCCCTTCGGGGATCGATCCGCGGAGGCGGAACCAGAGCACGGCGCGCCGCGTATGACGGAGACCCCTAATCAAAACCGCCACTGCCGCCCACGCCCCGCCGGGCCGCCGCAACACCACGTACGCCGTCGTACCGCTCAAGTAGTCTGGTCCACTGTCTCGCTCCCACTCACGGCGCGGGCCGTAGAGGAGCGCCGGAGAGAGAGAGAGAGCGACGAAAGACCGTGCAGCCCTCCACTGCGCTGCCGAACGTGTAATTCCACAACAATTAATGTCCGAATCTCGGGCGGGCGCCCCCGCCCTGCAAGGCCACGGCCAAGGCCTCGGACACCTCACAGCGCACCGCGCCCGCACGCACCGCGCCGACCAACAATCGGAATGGAATGGAACGCCAGCTCGCGTTTGTTTGCCCGTCCGTCCGTCAGCCGCCTCATTCCGAAGCATCGGTTCGTCGCTCTGTCTCTCTCGCACTCGTGGGGCGTCCCGCACGTCCCGTAGGGGTGCGAGAGAGACGAGCGACGGCGCGCTGCCTGACTGATTCATGGATCGCGATTTGGCTTCGGCGCTGCGCCGCGGAGAGCTGTCAGTGTCACTTCGGCGGCACCGACGCCGACGAACGCCGACGGCCGCGTTGTCTCGGTGACGTCGGCATTCGTACGCCCGGTCGGGAAACCCGCGTACAACGCACAAGGCTGCGATAGCAACGCGACGCGCCCGACGAGCACCCTCTACCAGGACTCTGTGTGGACGTGGACACACTGGCGTAGCAGCAGAGGGTGGCCGTCAGCAGGCCGAGTCCAAGCGGAGCGTCCCATCAGCCCGTCTCTCTCGAACCCACGAATGCTCCATGAACGAGAGAGAAGAGGAGATCTAGCTCTCTGAGAGACCCCCGCCGGCAGGAGGGCGCCTTGCGGGTAGGCACTCCCGGCGGCAGGGAGGCCGGCGGGCCTGCCTGCTTGCCAGGCGCTCGCGGCCAGCAGAGGCACGTTCCGAACGGCGACGCTTCGTCGCGCTGTCTCTCTTGCGCCTCGGCGGGACGCCCCATGAGAGCGACAGAGACAGGGCGACGAAAGCACTGTTTGGAGCGAGCCGGCAGCAAGCAGAGCAGGCTGAGCGTGCTCGTCCTTCCCGGCGTCCACGACGTCCACGCGGAACAACAGCCACTCTGCCTGAGTAATTGGCGCTGTACTTGGAGGCGCCGCGGACGAGCCAGCAGACTGATTCCGAGAGTCCTTTCGTCGCTCTGTCTCTGTCGCACCCATACGGGACGCCCCGTGAGTGCGAGAGAGACAGAGCGACGAGAACTACTCTCTGGGAATGAGTCTGACAGCGAGTCGATGAGCAGCGACAAAGCGGCCCGCCGATCGGAATGCCGCGATAGAGGCGACGCGACGCGACGCGGACCGACCTGTAGTGTTCCGACTCCAGACCGGGCGTCGTCGCGCCGTCTCTCTCGCGCCTCTCTGGGACGTCCCATGAGTGCGAGAAGAGGAGACAGAGCGGACGGGCACTGTGTGTTTGGAGTCAGCCTGCGATGGTCTATTTCAATTTGCCCGCTACCAGCTCGGAATATTAACGACTGAGGCGGCACTACACGCACGCACGTACACTGGCGCGCACACACACACACGCACACACACACACACACACACACACACACACACGTGCGTGATCTAACAGGTGCGGGTGACCACTGCAGCCGTAATTGGTCGCGGGGTGGCGATGGGGTTGCCCCCATGCACTGCCACTGCACCGCGACTGCAGCTGCCAGTGTGCGGACAAGCGCGCGATTCTTGGATTCCGAATCGTTTTCAAACCATCAATCAATCATCGTCAGTTCCCATCGGCTTCCGCGATCCGAGCAATAGTACTTCGAGCAACGCCCGCCAAAGTGTGCATATTAATGCGCGCGGACTCCTCGAAATAACGCGCTGTTTGTTTGCCGTTTGTCAGGCTCTGTCTCTCCCGCCATGGGTGCGAGAGAGAGAGAGAGAGAGAGCGCGCACTGCTTACTTGTCCGTTCGGCGGGTGGGATTAATCGGCGATCCGAGCGGCAGAGACAGCAGCGGCGCCCAGCCGTGACACCGACATGCTGAGGCTGCCGACGCTGCTGACATGCTCCCTGGCAGCGGCCGGCGTTCCCACACTCATGGCACACCGCGCACCGCGCAGCACCGCGCCGAGGCGACACTCGCACAGCAGCGCGACTCACCGGAGTGAGCTTCGCCGCTGTCTCTCTCGCACCCTTGCGGGGCGCCCCATGAGTGCGAGAGAGACAGAGCGACGGGCGCGCTGCAGGCTCTGCAGGCCCATCCCGTGTCGCTGGAAGCGCTGCTGGAGGCGGCCAGAGCGGCCACTGGAGCCCCGCGCCCCGCGCCGCGTTAATGGTCATTGTCAATCTCAAGGGCGAACCGCGACCTCCGCGACGACGACGCGCCCTCCGCGACGACGACGCGCCCTCCGCCCGGGCCGACGCGGGTTCAAATACCGTGAGGACCACACGCTTTTTTTCAAGATTTCTTTTTTCGTGGGATTTCCACTCACCAAGGATGTGCGCCGGCAGCGGCGCCTGGCGCGAGATCTTGTCCGGGCCGTAGAAGTCCCTGAGCTTCCTGCGCACATAGGCGTGCAGCTGCTCGTACAGCGGCCGCACCTCCTCCCAGGCCGACTCCAACTGCAGGCGGAAGTCGGGGGTCTCGTAGGGGAACAGCCAGTACTCGGCGAACGACGTCAGGTCTGCAACAAAAGAGAGGCGCGCGATGTTCGCCGTCATCGTCCTGGAGGGCGTCTTCGCCGTCATCATCTCGGACCGCGGCACGCCGGGCACAATGCGAGCACGCCAATCGCAATGGCGAGCCCGCCGCGTTTACTCGGACAATGATGGTCCCGATTCGTATTGGGGTTCGCGACTTGACTTCCTCGTTGATTGAATAATCCCCAGTGACAGTCCGCCCGTCAAGTGAACGCGCCGCGGCGAGACAAAGAGGGCGGCGGAGAGCTCGCGTGCGAGCTGGAGGATCACGCTCGTCGCTCTGTCTCTCTCGCACTCATACGGCGGCCCGCAGGGGTGCGAGAGAGACAGCGCTACGAAAACGTGGTTCCCCAACAGCCTGCCGGGCGGCCGCCAAGCTCGTCGTCTTCACGCACACACGTTCGAGCTACGCTTACTGTTCTGCTTGGCCGCCATGTTGCTCAGGTCCACCAGCTGGTCGAACAAGTCCCTGATCTTGAAGCCGGAGCGGCGTCGCCACTCCAGCCACACGTACTGCAGCTCGTCCCAGTCGCGGGAGCGCGCCATGATCAGGGTGAGGTCTGCAAACAAGCAAAAAATACATTATCAATGCGCCGGAGCGCGCCGCCGGTGGGGCTCGAACCCACGTCGGCGGAAGGACGTCGTGTTGGACGTCGTCGTACCTGGGTCAAGTCGCAGGCCGCAGCGGAGCGGCTCGCGGTGGGCGCAGATGGTGGCGCTGTTGTAGACCGCCAGCATCGAGTTGATGAGGCCGTTGTACTGCACAAACCAAAATACGGGGCGCTCAGCCAAGTTGGACACTTCGTTTGCAAGTTAGGTTTACTCTACAAAATGCAATGTGTACTTCGTTCTCATTGGAGGAATTTACTTGGGAAAGCCTATCCCGTGCATAGATGATTATGTGCACGCCTAGAAGTCCACATCCACGCCTTTAAATGTGTTCTTGTCAGACTGCATGCAGTCTGCTCCATACCCTTAACATATGCACTAATTTGGCACACTCCTTCAGATGTGCTCTTCGGGTACGCTACTAAGTACACATTGCATCTTGTAGTGTAGGTTAGATCCGGTTAGAGGTACTGACCCTGTCCAGCTGGTCCGGCGGCAGGGCTGCAGGGCCGATGACAGACAGCAGGCGGATCTGCCTGGCGAGGTCGGGGTTCTCCACGAGGTTCAGGTCGACCTGGTTCAGAGTCTCCCTCACCGCGCGCTGGAGCTCGGAGTTCTGAAGCTGGGCCTCCAGCTGACGAAAACGACATCAAAACAGGATTTCAGAATAGAGGCAAGAGCACCGACACATTAGAATACAAGCACAAGCGCAACAACTGCAAAGTGCGCCCTTGCAGCGCTTGCAGCTCAGTTCCGGTGATGCGGAAATAGTCCAAGAACAGCCGCTATCAACGGCCAGCGGGCATTTTATTTATTTTTCGCATTTAAAAGAGGGGGGAGAAAAAGAAACGTCTCAGCGACGGCCGGCCGCGAGTCCGGCAGCTTGTGTGAAGAGACCTCATCAAGGCTCTCACGTGCCGGAGCGCCTCGTGGGAGACACCCCGGCCGGGGAGCGCGGTTCAACGAAACCAAAGGCCGCCCGCATGGTGCGTTATTGGATGGTAGTGATGTGCCGACGAGAAGGAATTGAAGTTAAAAGACTAGTGCTAAGAATGATTATCAACGCAGAATTATCCCGTCAAGTTGCTGACTGGCTCAAAAGGCAGGTCAAATGTCGGGTGAGCGGTTACAGTTGACGCATCGTCAGTCCACCCGAAGGCAGAGCTACACGCCGATATCTCAGAGAGGCAGTTGGCAGACAATGCAACTAAATGTGTGACGCTCACCCAGCGGACCCGCCGCAGATCACACGATTGCAGTGTCTATATATATCGTAGGGAGCAACCTACAACACCAGCGAGAGCGAAGGGGAATCGCGTCTTCTGGGCTCCGTCTCCGCTTTTCTGGCTTCAGAAAGCACATCAGCGAGGGGACAAAGTCTGGCGCCAAGTGTTCGCCATACCCCTCAAATGCTGCAAATGGTTAAAATGGATTTTTAAACAAATCCTGGTTTAACAAAGAGACGTGACGCGCGCTGCCCGTTTGCGTGCGGTGACGCGCCGCGCGCCCTCTACCGGCGGGGCGCGGTACTGACGGTGCTGCCTGGGAGCAGGCGCGAGCGGGAGGGTCTGTATCTGCATCAAATAAACTCAAGCCCTAACAAAAGTTTATGCAACTACGGCAGAAATTTAAAAATTTAAAAACTGAACTGCTTAATTTTGTTTGTTTGGTTTTTTTTCCTGTCCCGCCGAGGCAGCCGAAAACCACACACGCGCCCGCACCGCCGTGGCGACGACGACGAGCCAAATAATCTGCGCGTCTCACGCGAGCCGCGAAGTGCCATGCCTTTGATGCCGAGCTTGCCGGGGCCGCCGGAGCCCCGAAAAGAGGCGGAAAGGACCGCCGACTGAAGCGACGAGGAGGGAGAGGGAGCGCTCTGATGGCACCGCGGGTCGGCAAAGGCGAATCCTCAGTCCAGCAGACTGATCCCGAGAGTCTTCGTCGCTCTGTCTCTCTCGCACTCATGGGGCGTGCCGCATGCGACGAAGACGACTCTCGGAAGGCGGTTCGGCAGTTCGGACTCTGGCGGGGTCAATCAGGGCGTTCCGGACCACGGGCAGGACGCCGGCCGCACGCGTCCTTGCCGGGGGCGTGCGCGGCGCGCGGCCCGAGCGTGCACAAGCACGGCACAGTTCCCACAGGCCGCCGCCATCCGCCGCCATCCGCCGCCGTGCGTGCACCACGCGCGTGCTCGGTTCATCTGCGGAGAGCGACGCGTAGCGACGCGCTGCCGGGAAGGGGCGTCGTCGCCAACCTCAGGACGCTGATTCGCTCCGAGAGTCGTTTTCGTCGCTCTGTCTCTCTCGCATGCGGCACGCCCCATGAGTGCGAGAGAGACAAGCGTCGAAAATTACTTACTTTCGGAATCAGTCTAGTAGAGAACTTCAGTCTAAAGTAGAAGAGCAGGAATAACGGACCTCGGAGCGGCGGAACATGAACATAACAAACCCTCGCTTGTTTTTACCCCCTCCACCCCAAAACAGCAGACGGCGGTGGCCGAATCAAGTGAGTGTTATGTTCTGACTCTCCGTCATTCCTGATCTTCTTCTTTAGACTCAAGTTCTCTATGCACTGCTTTCGCTCGACTGCTTTCAAGCTTCCGTTTCAAAAGCACGACAGCGAGCGGCATCTCAGCACTAGAGACCTAGAGGCTCTAGAGACGGCTCTGCTCAGCACTTGTGGCGTTGTGAGTGCTTTTCTCCTTGGTGCCTTGCTGCAGTTGTCTGCAAGCAACACGCCGGTCGGCCGGTTGGCGCGGAGCCCTTGACTTTGCCGCCATGGGAACCAACACGGACCCACTCCCGGACCAACACCCACATCGCAGCATCGCACAGCGCGGCGCGGCTGGGCGCGGCGCGCACCGGCCCGGCCTGGCCCGCCACGCACGGCACGCGGCACGCCACCAATGTCAGAAAAACACAGACGAAAAATCCCGTATGACCCCCGTCCCGCGTTCCGTCCGTCCGTCGGCGCGTCGCCGCGTCGCGCGGTGCGTTTTGTTGCTTTGTTTTAGTCAAGGCCGCACGCCTTACTGGTACTCACTAGGCGCTCCCTTTTTCGCGGCCAGCGCTTGGCCTGCCGTTGGCCCGGGTTCAAATGCCGGCCGGCGGCCTCAGCTTGCGTCAGCGACGTCAGCGACGACGGGGACGCACAGTGGGCTAGAAGACCGGTGGAGGCGGACCAAACTCTAGACGCGTTTTGAGTTCCAGAGTCGCTAAATAGGAGTCGAACTGAACGTGTGACCCCACCAATGGATTGCTCTCCGAACGAGGAATCCATTGGTGGGGTCACACGTTCGGTTCGAGCCCTGTTTAGCGACTCTGGAGCTCAAAACGCGTCCAGAGTTTTGTCCGCCTCCACCGGTCTTCTGGCCCACTGTGGGACGTGATGACATCTCAGCGGACGTGTCCGCGGCCGTCACGCCGGCCACCAGATCAATCCGCGTTCTTGGAAGCCTGAATGGTGCTCTCGTCGCTCTGTCTCTCTCGCACCCCTGCAGCACCGCCCAAGAGTGCGAGAGAGACACAGCGACGAGACGAAAGAGCACTTTTGAGAGTCACTATCCGCCGCCATGGGGTGGGTGGCCTCGGCGTCTAGCATCTCGATGACCGCCTTGTGTAGGACGCTCTGGACAAGTCATCGCGCGCGCACACATACACGCACAACGCGCGCGCTGTCCAGCTCGTCGTCGCGAACGCGGTGACAACACAGTTTCATTGAACGCGAAGTGCGAAGGCTGGGCGGCGAGACCAAAGTGGCATTATTATTCCGATTTTTTCCATTTATCTCCAGTCCAGTGTGGTCCTCCACACAAGGGAAAACACCCGTCACTCTTCGCGAAGGCACCGTGCTCGTGCTCGCCGGGAGTCGCGGCGGCAAGCGTGCCGCGCGTGTACCGCGTGCTATGCAGCGCGCGAGCCAAGCCGAGCCAAGCGATGGCCCGGTGGCGGGTGACTCAGCTCGCAGATTCGGACTCGCTCTTGGTCGCTCTGTCTCTCTTTCGCATCGCACCCCTACGGAAGGCTCCCTGCGAGTCCGAGAGAGACAACGCAACGAAAGCACTGTTCGGAATCAGCCTGCTGGCTCCGGAGGGTCTCGGGCCGGTGACCGGCCGGTCTCGGGCAGGGGACGAGGTGGACGAGCGCGTCGGCCGGGATACTTCAGGATACTTCCGAGCACTGCCTCTGTCTCACAGACAGAAGCAGAGCTCGGAATCAGGCTGCGGGTCGCGATGACCGCCAGAGCCGAATGCAAGGTTAATTTGCAGGAAGCGCCCCGCAGTGCAGTGCGGTGCGGTCCGCGGCCTTGTGGCGGAGGGCGACGCGCGTCCGCTGCGACGCTGAGCCCGTAGTGTCGCGGCCGGCCGCGGCCACAAAAGGGGCCGACTTGAGCTTGACTCGCAGTGCGATGAATCCCGAACGGGCGGCCGCGCAAACGCTCCCCGCACGCGCCGGGCCGCCACCGCCACGCTAATCGGCCGCGACGCGCTCAGCAGACACTGCTTCCGAGAGTCGTTTTCGTCGCTCCGTCTTTCTCGCACTCACGGGGCGTCCCGCTTAGGTGTGAGAGAGACAGAGCGACGTCAGCGCGGCCGCCGTGGTCGGCGGACTGGACGCCCCGCGTACCGAGGACTCGACGAGGACTCGGTGGCCGCGACTCATTTTCCAGCAGTTAGCGCGCTTCGCGGCGCTTTGTCACTCGGGACCGTCTCAATGGACGCCCCGCCCGGCGAGGCATAGTGACACACTCGCACCGAGTAATCGGCGGACTGACGGACCCCGAACACCGCTTTCGTCCCTTTGTCTCTCTCGCTCTTATGGGACGTTCCAGAGAGGACGGCACGGGTCCGCCCTCTCTAGGACGTTCTGTACGTCTCTCTCGCACCTGTGGACCGATCCGTGAGGGTGCGAGAGAGATCGCGCTGAATCAGTCTGCAGTTGTTGGCGACGGCGAGCTGAAACGGGCAGCACGGCGACGTCGCGGAGAGCGAGATAGAGCAGCGCGTTGGCTGCCCCCTTTGTAAACGCCGAGTACGTACACGTACGTGGTCCTCGAGCATGCTCGTCATGACCGCGGCCACGCCACGGCCACGCACTGGCTGACCCGGAAGGCGCGTGCTGCGGAGCGCTTTACGGGGGGCGTGGCGTGCACCGGGAGTCTCTCGTCGCTCTGTCTCTCTCGCACCTGTACGGGACGCCCCATGAGTGCGAGAGAGACAGAGCGACGACAGCGACTCTCGGAATCAGGCTGCAGAGCAGCGCGGGGAATTCCCCAGCGGGCCGGGCGGGGCGGACCGTCCACCGCCTCGACGGGGTTCGCGGTTCGCGTTCAACAACGCGGGTATTTTGGCGACGGAGAGGCGACACGCGGAGGGCGAAGAGAAGGCGTGCCTAGCGCAGGGTGCTGCTGTTGTTGTTATTGATGTTGTCGTTTTTGTTGTGAAGAGCCGCGCGTGACCCCGCAAGCCTCTAGCAGCCCAAGAAGGCCCTAGGCGCGCCCCTCCGGTGGCCGGGCCTGAGGCCTAGCCTGTCTTCGCGCGGGTTCACCGGTAACCGTTTATGCCCCTGTTACGACACGCCGACGGCGACAACACGGGCAACATTGTGATGGGCAGGGCGCGGCCCGCCCGCAGCCCGCAGGGCCCGCCGCAGCCCGCGGACTCTCTCGCACTCGTGGGCGCCCCGTGTAGGTGCGAGGGAGACAGAGAGACGAAAACGACTCTCGGAATCGGTCTGCGGCACAAGGCGGGCCGAGCCAACGGCTGCAAGAGCGAAGCCAGTGCCTTTTGTTTTCGCTTCGGAAAGTGAAAAGAACGGTGAACTCATGATGCGGCATAGGAGTAGTGTTTGCTATTCTGGACACAGGGACAGTAACGTAGCTTCCCGAGGCGAGATCGGGAAACAGACCAGGAACGAGACGCCAAAAACCGGAAGGCAATAAGTGCATGTCTTCAAAAATTTCATTGAAGTATTTCAGACTGTTATTGTGAATTTTGAACATTTCCTGAGAGGCCTCCTGCCGCCTCCTGCACTGCCCCACCTGTGACCCAAATGCAGAAGGCGAGGCGAAGGGCTGCGCGGTGCGGCCACTATCAGTGCGGCACTTTCTCCTGTAGACTCATTCCGGGAGTCGTTGTCGTCGCTCTGTCTCCCTCGCACCGATACGGCACGCCCCAGGAGTGCGAGAGAGACATCGCGACGAAAACGACTCTCGGAATCAGTCCGCCTGGTGGGTGACTTAGTGACTTCCAGGAGCGTCTCCGTCACTCCGTCCTTGTCGGGGCGCCCTGGCCGCGGAGGCCGCCAGCGAAGGGACAGAGAAAGAAGACGTAGCGCGACGCTTGGGGGGCATTTGCATGGGGGCGCCGAGCCGAGCCTGGTCGAGCCGAACCGGGCCGAGCCGAGCCGAGCAAGCCGGCGGCGACGCATCGCACATTATCAGTAATTACTCGGAGGCGACAACCCGACGCGGGCGTCGTGCGCGGGCGCGGAAGGAGGCGGACATTCCACGCGTTCTGGAAGTCGTTCACTTTCCCATAAACCTGCTTTACTGTGCTACACAGCGAGAAAAGCGGAGTGGAAAGAAAACTCGCCGCCGTGCTCCGAGTGTCAGGAACGATGTCCGAATTAGAGCCGTCATGACACGTTGACAAGTGGCCTCATCACTGATCAAATTTCGTACAACATCATTGAAACATCGCTGATGATGTCAATGTTCTATCATCGTCCTGACACTCGGAGCAGCGCGGTAGAAAGAAGACTTGGACGTGACTCACCGCGGACACCTGGGTGACGGCGTTGACGTTGGTCTCGAAGGCCCACTGGGCGGCCACGGTGTGGGTGCACTGCTGCGACGTCAGCGAGTCCACCCTGGCCAGCAGCTCGCGCAGCTCGCCCTCGGGGATGTAGTTGGGCGGCGGCACTGGCGGCACGGACGGTCCCGGGAAGCCGTCGGGGTTGCCGTTGAAGCCCGGCGGCCCCAGCGGCCGCAGGAAGGGCGCGTCGCCGTTGAGCCCCGGGCCGTTGTAGCGGTCGCGGTCGCCGGGGTAGGAGGACGCGGGGCGGGGCGCGCCGGGCAGCGCAGGCGAAGGACCGTTGATCTGGTCCTGGCCGACGTCGCTGAACACCGTCTGCGGGACGCGGGGCCCGTCGAAGCTCCTGCCGGCCGCGCCGCGGTAGTTGGTGTTGTCCTGGAAGCGGCCCCCCGAGGCCACGTCGAACGGGCGGCCGCCGCCGAGCGGCCGGCCCGCCGCGTCCAGGGCTTGCTGGCCGCCGCCGTTGAAGGGCTGCTGGCTGAACTGCTGGTTGCCGCCGTTGAAGGGCTGCTGGCTGAACTGCCGGTCGCCGTTCCCGAAGGGTGGCTGGTTGTACGACCGGCCGTCGAACGGACGGTTGAGGCCGCCGTCGAACTGCCGGTTATCCAACTGCGGCCGGCCGCCCACGTCGAACTGGCGGTTCTCGAAGCCGCCGGTCTGCGACGGCGGCCTCGGGGACGACGGCCGCCCCGGCAGGTTGCCCAGGTCCACGAAGTTGGGGTCGAACTCGAGCTGTGCGGCGGGCTTGGGCGCGGGCGCCGGGCTGGGGTCGGCGCGCACCAGGGCCAGTGCGGCCAGCAGCAGCGGCAGCGACGTCATCGCCTACAAGGAGTCCACCGTCACTACACCTTCAACACCGTCTCGGCCTAACCTAACCCTCCAGCGAGCCGAATTCCGAACCTTACCCCGCCGCCTCCTACGAGTACGTCACCGCCTACCTCAGCGCCTCTGGCCGGCGGCGGCGTCCGCACGCAGTCGCAGGCCGCGAACACAGGCCCCGCCAGCGGCAGCGCCATGCCTCTGGACGACAGAGCGGCGTCTGTGCGGCGCCCCGCGCGATCCCCCGTGTTTCCCTCAATGTTTCACTTTCGTTCCGTTTGCCCAGCCAGCACACGTACGAGGCGGCGGGGTCGGAGGGGTCGGAGCCTGGTGGGGGCGAGCGTGGGGACCGGGAGCACCACGACGAGGAGTCACAAGGCGAGGGGGAGTTTTCAGCTCTGGATCACGGATAGAGTGATCGATATTAAGCACTACTGCGTTGTTGTTACACGGCTATTTGACCATTTTGGGGCAAAATAATCGTTTTACGCTACGTAGCATTATGACTCTTAAGCGCTCTTACTGGTATGGGGGTGGCGCAACAGACTCTAATTGGCGAACGCCCCCCTCGGCGCCGGTGATGGAACCAGCGACCTTGCTCTTGTGGAGCAGGGATGTTATCCACGCACCTACGAAATCGGAGCGCGGCCTGGGCCAGGCGGGCCGTGGCGTCGCGGGGGATGGATTGGACTCGGGCGCCTTGTCGGCGCGGACGTGCGTGCAGCGGCCGACGCATCGCGCGGCATCGCGCGCCGCGAACAATGCGTGCGACATGGCCATGTAGGACCTTGCCTCGCCCGCAAGGCTGGCGGCGCGGCCCGGCCCGGCTGGCCAGGGTAATGTGTGCGCGTTGCAGCGTCGCGGCGCGGCGGCCTTCCGCGCGGACGGACACGGCGGCGGCGGCGTCCAGGGCAGACGCGGAGCCCGGCACCCTTGCGGTGACTGGCGGCGCACAGTGAGCCAGGAGGCCGGTGGAGCTGGCTAAAACTCTCCAGAGTCGCTACACAGGACTTGAACCGAACGTGTGACCCCAGCGATGGATTCCTCGTTCGGAGAGCATGCCATCGCCGGGGTCACACGTTCGGTGGAGCTCCAAAAGCGTCTAGAATTTTTGGCCACCTATACCGGTCTTCTGGCCCACTGTGCAACGTGCGGCGCCATGACGGAGGCCGCCGTCGACCGCGCACCAGCGCGATCATGGAATGCCGGTTTGGTGCTTTGGTTTTCCCTGCAGCCTCCGCGCGCGCTTTCCTTGCCGCTCCGCGATGTTGTCACCTTCGGCTTCGGCGGCCACTGCCTGCGTCTGCTCTGCTTAGAGGGCGTCTGCCAATTGGCGGGGCATGGCGGGGCGCGGTGGGGCGGGGCGGGGCCGCCCGCTAGAGCACGGCAGCCTTGGTGACGTCACGGACGCTTCGCACCTCGGCGTCAACCCCCGGACCACGCTCGCCCTACTTACACACGCCCCCCGCGGCGCCGCGGCCACATTTTCTTTTTCGGGGCGTTCCGCCGAAACCGCTTCCACGACGACTAACTGTATTTGGGAGGAAAATCCCCCTCCCCCCCCTTTCCCGCGGCTTCTGCGACACTAAACAGCTCAATCCAGAGTGCAATTAGGCAATTAGAAGTGGCATGGAAAAGAGAGGGGGCAGGCGGATACGGCGTGTTGTGCTACAGTTGTGTGGGGGCCTAAAATAACTCATAGGATGACTAGCAATCACAACTACTTCTGACTGTACTGACAGAAAAACGCACAATTATTTTAAAAATCTTGTTTTTGAAAGTGAATGAACGTGGTGCCTGCGAAGCCGCAGGTGCACTCTTCATCAACGCTCCGACTTTTGCCTTGATTTCTGTCATTTTTCTGTCATTTTATCTCGCCGCCTCTGCGGCGCCTGTACACTAGGCGGTCACGGAAGACGCGCCTTCCAGGGAATCCGGTGCGCCGATACGCTGTCCGGTGCGGCCGGCCGATCAGCCAATCGGGTGTGTCGGAAAGCGGCCTCGTCCGCCCGTCGCCGTGCCGGGCACGGGGACCCACGGGGACCCACGGGGACCCACGAGGACGAGGTGCCGGAGGCGGCCAGGAAGGGGAGCTCCATGACGTGCTTCAGTGCTTCGTACGTCAAACGCTCCCCCTCGGGGAGCACTACCTAAGGGTTGCGAACGGTGGCCAACTTGAGCTTGCTGTACACGGCCGAGACGGTGTTGTCCAGCGATGATTACCCAACGCGTAATCCTCAGAAACCAGACGCGGAACCACAAGCTGCTCGGCAGATTAATCCAAAGCGATGCTCACCACCGTGCACTTGTTGGGCTGGTCGCGGATGCACTGACTGACTCGGGTCCTACACGCACGGCACACTGACACACACACACTCACACATGCACACCCGCGCGCGCGTCGACTTGCCGGACACACACTGCTAGCTCGTCGCGACTATCGCCTCCAAGTTCCCCGCCGCACTGAGCCCAGGACGCGCCGTGTGGGACCCTGGCCCCCCTGCCGCCGCCGCCGCCGCCGGGGCCACGCGACCCGCTGCTGGTGTTGTTGTTGCCGCTGCTGGTGTTGTTGTTGTTGCCGCCGCTGTGACGTGCCGCAGATAAGCGCGGGGAGGACTGGCTGGCTGGACAGGAGAGGATAGGTAGGGAGAAGTGCTCCCACGCGTTCTCACGAGGGGCGGCGGCGGCGGTGGGGGCGTCGCGCCGTGCACTCGCGCCACGCACAATGAATCACATATTTTGGTACACAGGCATATTACAGTGACTCAACGCGGGGCGCGGGCTGGCGGGCTGGCCAGCTTGAGTGTGTTTTATTCGCGTGGCCCCAACCTTGCACCTTGAGGCTCGAGGCTTGGGGCTTGGAGGGGCTTGGAGCTTGGGGAGCGGCCCGAGGTGAGGCGTAAGGCTGACCCGACGGCGGTGCTATGCAGGCTCATTTCCAACAGCGTTCCGTCGCTCTGTCTCTCTCGCATCTACGGCACGCCCCTTGAGTGCGAGAGAGACAGAGCGAAGACAGCCGTGCGCGGAATCTGCCGGATGATGGTGCGTGGTTGCCTGCAGGGCTGACACCACCAGTCAGGCTCGGACTGCGCAGGGCAGACAGGCAGAAAAATCTGCCGGGGCCTTTCGGGTTTGAGACCAGTAACGTCACAAAGTCGGTCAAAGAGTCCTAGTATATATAGGACGAAAGTAGCCGTTTTCGCTGATTTTGGGCGGCCACTGCGTCCGATCTAATTGCGGTCAACGGCCTCCCTCGACGCCTTAGTATTCTTAAGACCCTGCTCTTTCATGCCCTGTATCGGGAAGACGTTGACCACAACGATTTTGGCTTTGACCGCAACGATTTTCCGACTAAGTTGGTCAAAAAGTTGTCGAATCTCGGAAATTTGCTGATTTTGCTGACTTTGGGCGGCCACTGTGTCCAATCCAGTCGCCGTAAAAGGCCTCCCTCGACGTCCTAGTATTCTTAAGATCCTACTCTTTCATGCCGTGTATCGGGAAGGCTATTGACCGCAACTAGTTTGGGAGCGGTAGCCTCACAAAGTTGGTCATGAAGGGTAAAAACATAGTGATGATCGGGGGCCTTTTGCGGTCTTATCCGCTGGGGCCTTTTGGGGGCCAGTCCAAGCCTGCCAGTACCTCTAGCAGCACCAATAGAAATTTTTGAAAACGTTATTATTTTGTCCAGGGGCCCCTTCACCTGACGTCCCTCGTTCGTCCCTTCCTGCCTGCCTCCTTCGGCCGGCGGCGCGGTTCCGATCCGTTCCCAGCTGCAACAATGCCCGATCGGAGCGAAACTTCCCAAACCCATCAAGCACATCACCTCGGTCGTCTCGTCATACGGCACCTTGAGGGCCATGCGCCCCGCCAGCCCCGCGTGCCGCACGCTTCGGCCCGTGCACGGCAAGCCCGGCAAGCCCGGCAGGCCGGACCGGCGGGCCGCGTCGCTCCGTCTCGCTCGCACTCGCGGGGCGCTCCGCAGGGGTGCGAGAGAGACGGAGCGACGATGCCGCCGTTGGGGCGCGGCGGGCGCGGTTACGGCAAGGCGTGCGGCGCAGTGCGGCGGCTCACGCCTCGCGACACAGAGCGTCTCTGCTCAGGCGTGACGCGGGGAAGGCCGCCGCTCCGCCGCTCCGCCACGCAGCGACAGCGACGCAGCGAGGATGCAATATGGGAAAGGGACGGACGGACGGGCGGACGGCGGCGGAGCGGACACACTTTTCTTTTGCCGCGAACGAATGAATGAAAATCACACAACGCGCGGCCGCAGCGTGCAGTGCAGTGACTGCAGTGCAGGCGCGGCCGTGAATCAGACAAGGAACACCATAGGTGCAGCGCGGTGATTCACCCCGATGGAGGCTGTTGTTGCCGAACTTCGGTTTCGTCGCTCTGTCTCTCTCGCGCCTATTCGGAACGACCCGAGAGAGACAGAGTGAGGCCGCCACCGTAGTAGTTGGTGGTCAGCCCGCCGCGACTGCGCTGCTATAATTTGCCCGAGACAGCCTGCCTGACGCCGCGCCGATGAGCCGATCGCGGAAAGCTCCAGACTGCACATCGCTGTTGCGCTGTCTCTGTCGCACTCATGGGGCGTCTCGTGCGAGAGAGACAGCGGCGAAACGCTGAGCGAAATCCGTCTACGACTGGAGCGCCTGGAGGGTAGGCCTCGCGGGTGCAGGGGTGCGTGGAACTGGTGGGTGGCCTACCCTCCAGGCGCTAAGCCAATTGTCTTTTTCATCGCTCTGTCTCTCTCGCACCCATACATGACGCTCTATGAGTGCGAGAGAGATCGAGCGACGAAAACGACTCTCGGAATCACTTTGCCGGATGACACAGGCTCGCCGGCGCCGTCACCGCCACGCCGTGCTTGACGGCGAGGAGGATCAAATTATCACCGTTCGCACCTTCCTTTTCGATCGCGGCACCGCGGCGGCCTTGTCCTTGCCCGCTACTTTCCCGCTTTGGACCGCCGGCCGTCGAGTTTCGCCCGACGCCGTGCCTCTTTGTTTTTTGGCGGGAAATTTTTGCAGCGCCGCAACAGAACAGTGGTCTCGTCGCTCCATCTCCCTCGCACTCATGGGGCGTTGTGCAGGGGTGCGAGAGAGACAGAGCGACGACACACACAGAGCCCAAGGCTTCCCGATGTCCGTCAAGCCCGCGGCCGCGGTGGCGCGGTGCTCGTTGATACGGCGCAGCCACATGACACATGACATGTTCGTCGGCGGGTTACAGGTCAGGGCTCACAGTGGCCAGCCCGGCCAGCCGCTCCCACGGCACGGCGCGGCACGGCACGGCACCGCACGGCACGGCACGGGCCTTGGCGCGACGCGCGACACACTGGTGCACACAGGACGACCTGGGACAACGGGAAGCTGCGGAGTAGAGGGCCCATTCCGTGTCAATACCCCTCCCCTCGCGCTGGGGTGGTCTATAAGCAGGCTGCGGAAATGCTCTTCGCCTGAAGAAATGCTCTTGGCCTGGATAAATGCTGTCGACCTGGGGAAGTGCTCTTGGCGGGGGAAGTGTTCTTGACCAGGCGAAATGCTCTTGGTCTGAAATCATGCTCTTCGCCTGGGGAAATGCCGGGAAATGCTCTTGGCCCACCCATCCTACCTAAGGTTGAAAACCGCCACGCGTGGAGTAGCGACAACGACTCGGTGCTTCATCCAGTAGTAATTCTCCAAAAGATCCGCCGAGAGACCTGCTTACACTGCACTGCTTACACATCTGCATTTCAGAATTCCAGGTGGGTAAGCAGTGTTATCCTGGATTTATTTGGGCGCTGCTTTCTCCGCCTTTGTCCGCCTCGCCTTCGGACGATAGTGCTCATTACATTCCTCGTTAGGCAATAAGTCGGGCGGGCGGACGGTTGACAGGCAGCAGGGGCAGCACGCAGGCGGACAGACAGGTGGGGCAACGCCGACGGCAGCGCCGGCAACGGGACGACAGAGACACCGAGGCGCTCCCATCATTGTGCTCGGCGCATCCATTCAGAGGGTCATATGGCCAACCGTGCCCCGGCCAGCCCCCGGCCCCCGGCACGGGCCGTCCTGGGGCCTGCAGACTGATTCCGAGAGTCGCCTTCAACGCGCTCTGTCTCTCTCGCACCTGTGCGGGACGCCTCGAGAGTGCGAGAGAGACAGAGCGACGAAAACGACCCCTGACGTCAGTCTGCTGCTCCCGGGGCATCTCCGCTCGGTGTCACACCGCACGCCGACAGGGGGCAGCACCGTCGCGCGCGTCCACGTAACCTCAGGACCGACAGCCGCCATCCGTCACCTGCCCCTTCGGCAAAGGACACCGAAAAGGGAGATTATTTTTGCCTCGGACAGCAGACGAGTTTTTGTTTTCAACCTGCAGGCTGATTTTGAACTCTGCTTTCGTCGCTCTGTCTCTCTTGCACTCGTGGGGCGTTCCGTGGGGGTGCGCGATAGAAACAGAGTGACGGGGCACTGCTCTGAATCAGCCTCCATTCATGTGTAATCGAGTCAGCGCCACGGGCAAGACGCTCCAGGCGGGACCCCTTCCTGCAGGCCATGATTCCGAACAGTGGCCTCGTCGCCCTGTCTCCCTCGCACTCGCCCGGCGTTTCATCGCGGTGCGAGAGAGACGGCTGTCCGGAACCGCTCTGCAGGTGCATAGCATAATGGTGGCGATTGTCGCCGGAGCGTCGCCGCGCCCCGCCTTGCTGGCCTGACTCACTCACACGCCGGAATACCGATCAGTGTGCAAATCGCTGGGCGCGGAGCGCGGAGCGCGGACGCGGCCATCGGGGCCTCCTCGACGCCACCGGAAAAAAGAAAGACCGAAATCGCCGCGGCGCAGACTGATTCCGAGAGTCGTTTTCGTCGCTCTGTCTCTCGCACGTGTATGGGACGCCGCATGAGTGCGAGAGAGACAGAGCGGCGAAAACGGTTTTCGGAATCAGGCTGCGGCCGCCGGTCCACGCGGACGTCCACGTCCACGCGCCCCGTCCGAGTCCGGCAGGGAGTCCGTCGAGGCGCGCCGCCGCCGACCTTCCTGGAGTGCAGTCTCGAGTCCCAAGCGCGGCGGCGCGGCCTTACCGACAGTCAGACGGGGCGCGGGGCGCGGGGCGCGCGACGCCGTGGGAACCGCGCAGTGCGCGCACCTCGCACCGCGGGCCGGGCCGGGCCCTTCGTGTGCAGCAATTAATGTGCGCGAGGCTGGGCGGGGCGGGGCGGGGCGGGGCGGGGCAACGCGAGGTGAGGCTGCGGTGCCCCGCCGCACCCGCCCCGCCTCGCCCCGCAGAAGCACCGCGCGCTGGACCACGCATTGCCTTCCCGTAATCGCGTGGAATCAACGCCGATGACTTCCAAATTGAACGGAATGGGTTCGCGGAACGCCGGCAGTTTGTAAAGCCAATTTATGTGACTCGGTCCGAGTAGTTGTTTGTTCGGTGTCAAGGCGGGATGTGCGCTGCTGCGTGGGTGCGCCAATGCCGCGCGTTGGGCTGCCTAGCTCCCCGGCGGCTGGCGGCGCCGCCTCGGCCGCCGGTGGCCACTGCGACTCCTGCTCCTGGCGGCGGCTCTCGCCCGCTTCCTCCTGGAGGTCGGCGGCGTCCTGGAGGTCGGCGGCGTCCTGGAGGTCGGCGGCGTCCTGGAGGTCGGCGGCGTCCTGGAGGTCGGCGGCGTCCTGGAGGTCGGCGGCGTCCTGGAGGTCGGTGGCGTCCTGGAGGTCGGCGGCGTCCTGGAGGTGCTGCCCTTGCCCCTGGTCTGGCGTCGGCCGATGTGCAGTTCGGGTCCGACGGGTGTGGGCCCCGAGCCGGGCGACGGCGTGATGTCCGGGTCCACGTGGGTCTTGTGGCGGCGCAGCACCGTGTAGTTGCGCTGCAGGTCGCAGTGCAGCAGGTTGGAGCCGACGGCGCGCTTCAGAACGGGGGCCAGCTCGCGGCGCAGGCAGGACGCCGTCAGCGACGGGTACGCCGACCCCAGCACCGCCAGGATCTCGGCGAACCTCGCGCCGCGGGGCTTCTTCTCCTGCAGCGAGCCCACCACCGCCACCACGGCAGCCACCGTCAGCGTCGGCTTGCCTGCCGGGTAGATCAGCGAGCTTTGACAACGTGATGACTCTGAAGAGCTTAGTTCAACTCCCTCTGGAGGCATTCATTTTTCTTTCGATTTCCGACGTCACCTCTGCAGCCCCCTGGAAAGCCGTCGTCGGGGTAGTTGACCCGCGCGCCCTCGTGGGACGAGGTCCTCTCGTCCAGGTCGCGGCCCGGGGCGGGCCGGTCGCGCCTGTCCATGAGCACCGCGCTCTGCAGGGGGAGGCGGGTGTAAGAAAAAGAGAGACAGAAAGCGCTGCAGTGGCGCCGTGCGCCGCGCTCAGTCGTCGTAGCAACGGCCAATCGCTAATCCCGATTCTCACCAACGTAGTAGTGAACCTCGGTAAAAGTCGTCGGTTTAAAAAAAAAATGAACGGCGTCGTCAAGGATCGAACCGAGGACCCTGTCACCCCTGCCGGGGTCCCGAACTCGGCCATCGTCGAGTACCTGAGCTCCGAGAAGACGCAGAGCGTGCTCCGCTTCATCGTGACTCACCTGGGAGTCAGCAGGCCCGGTAAATAGTTTTTACACATTATTTTAATTTAATTTGTATTGACGTTTTGGTGATAATTTGCTGTTGTTGTCCCTGCGCAGACGACCCGGTCGCGTTCCTGTCCGACCTGCTGACCCGCGGGCTAGAGAGCAGAGGGCGTACGCAAGATGGAGAGGACGCTGGCCAGCTCGACGAGAGCCTCGTCCTGTTCCAAACCAGGCACATCGAGGCCTTGCTCAACGCCATGGACCCCTTCCGCAGGGGCGTCGTCTCCGTCGTGCAGTACCACAACGGTGAGATGAACGCTCGCTGAAAACGCGGCGTTTTCGGAACCAGCAGGAACCAGAGTCTGCGTTTTCTGTTCCCCAGGGATGTGCACCATGGGCTTGGCCGACTACAACCGAGAGCCCGCCACCGACGAGGAGGGCTTCGTCTCGAGGGACACGTTCATGCAAGAGGCGTGAGTACCCCGTCCCCCTTTCCACATACGCACACGCACACAAACACACTACACGTGCTGTTTCCTGGGCCGTATAGAGCGTCACCTGGTTAGCCGGGCAGCCGGCTGGCCAGAGCGCCGTGGAGGTAGGCCACCCTTCCTGCGGCCCGGCCGCCCGGCCGCTTCGCCGCGACAATGTGCTTCCCTTCTCCGTCGCACTGCGTCGCACTCGCGCGTCCCCTCGCACCGTCTCTCTCCCTCAAGACTCGAGCCCCGTCCAGGCCGTCCAGGCGGCAGTGCGGGAGTTCCCTCTTCCGGTGCGGGCGTCAGGCGTTCTGATTGGCCCAGCGGCGCGCGGTGCGCATGCCTCACTGAACGCACCCTGGGCCCACCGCCTTGGTGCTCGGGGCGCTTGCAGCGGCATTGTTGGCCGTCGCCAAGGGAAGGCCCAGCGAGCGGGCAGCCCAGTCAGAGCACAGGGGTCGGCCGAAGCGCACGCACACGGACTCGTAGCCCTCCGCCAGCGCGCGCCGCCAGCTCCAAGACCCCTTCACCACTCGGAACCTCACCGCACACAAGCACCGCACCATGAGGGAGTGCATCTCCGTCCACGTCGGCCAGGCCGGAGTGCAGACGGGCAATGCCTGCTGGGAGCTGTACTGCCTGGAGCACGGCATCCAGCCCGACGGCCAGATGCCCTCCGACAAGACGGTGGGCGGCGGCGACGACAGCTTCAACACCTTCTTCAGCGAGACGGGCGCCGGCAAGCACGTGCCGCGCGCCGTGTTCGTGGACCTGGAGCCCACCGTGGTGGACGAGGTGCGCACCGGCACCTACCGCCAGCTCTTCCACCCGGAGCAGCTCATCACGGGCAAGGAGGACGCCGCCAACAACTACGCGCGAGGCCACTACACCATCGGCAAGGAGATCGTCGACCTGGTCCTGGACCGCATCCGCAAGCTGGCCGACCAGTGCACCGGCCTGCAGGGCTTCCTGCTCTTCCACTCGTTCGGCGGCGGCACCGGCTCCGGCTTCACGTCCCTGCTCATGGAGCGCCTGTCCGTCGACTACGGCAAGAAGAGCAAGCTCGAGTTCGCCGTCTACCCCGCGCCGCAGATCTCCACCGCTGTCGTGAGTACTTTCATCTGTTTGTAGATTTAGTTTTGGATCGTCCATTACGTATTTTTTAAAAAAAAAATAGCTTAAAATTTTTCCTTAATTTTTTGTCTTGGTTTGGGATTTTCTATCAATAACGTAATTTTTGGGAGGAAGGGGCGTGTTCGTTTTATAAAGCAAGATTCTGAAGTGACGGAAACCCTGCAATGCCGCATTGCAAGGCTTTCACCAAGTCAGAATCTGACGCAAATTACCAGACCACCCAAACATTCTCAAGTTTTTGGTGACATAATTTTTGCATGACCCCGCCCTCGCCCCCGCATTGGTGTGACCCCGCTGTCCTGCGCAGGTTGAACCCTACAACTCGATCCTGACGACGCATACCACGCTGGAGCACTCGGACTGCGCCTTCATGGTGGACAACGAGGCCATCTACGACGTGTGCCGGCGCAACCTGGACATCGAGAGGCCCACCTACACCAACCTGAACCGCCTCATCGGCCAGATCGTGTCCTCCATCACGGCGTCGCTGCGCTTCGACGGCGCGCTCAACGTGGACCTCACCGAGTTCCAGACCAACCTGGTGCCGTACCCGCGCATCCACTTCCCGCTCGCCACCTACGCCCCCGTCATCTCGGCCGAGAAGGCGTACCACGAGCAGCTCAGCGTGGCCGAGATCTCCAACGCGTGCTTCGAGCCGGCCAACCAGATGGTCAAGTGCGACCCGCGCCAGGGCAAGTACATGGCGTGCTGCATGCTGTTCCGCGGCGACGTGGTGCCCAAGGACGTCAACGCCGCCATCGCCACCATCAAGTCCAAGCGCACCATCCAGTTCGTCGACTGGTGCCCCACTGGCTTCAAGGTGCGTGCACAATTTGGATCAAATTGAATTGAGCAAATCGGAGAGTTGGCACAATGTCGAAAGGGGTTTTCTCGAACTCATTCCTCTTCCGTTTGCCCTGCAGGTGGGCATCAACTACCAGCCGCCCACCGTGGTGCCGGGCGGCGACCTGGCCAAGGTGCAGCGCGCCGTGTGCATGCTGTCCAACACAACGGCCATCTCGGAGGCGTGGGCGCGGCTCAACCACAAGTTCGACCTGATGTACGCCAAGCGCGCCTTCGTGCACTGGTACGTCGGCGAGGGCATGGAGGAGGGCGAGTTCTCGGAGGCGCGCGAGGACTTGGCGGCGCTGGAGAAGGACTACGACGAGGTCGGCCTGGACTCGACCGAGGCCGAGGGCGAGGCTGGCGAGGAGTTCTAGTGGAGCAGCAAGGCGTGGTGCACTGCGTGGTGAGGTTTCCTGACTTGCTCGTCCCTGCCGCGGCTGCCATGGGCTTCATGCCTTACAAGTGGATTACCGTGGCCGTTTCGGAGGGCGGTATTGTCCGTTACTCTGTTTTGATCAACGGTTTTCAAATTTCCCTGTGTAATTGCATGTGTATGTGCTGTGAATTAATTTTTAGGACGTGGTATGCACGGAGTCCACCAAAGTGTGTACCAACAATGTTTGTTTGTTTTCGGAAGGTATTGTGCTAAAAGATGTGACCAATAAAATTTGTTTTTCGTGAAACTGCTTTTAATTTTAGTTTATGTGGTACGGCCCAGGAAACATACAAAACACTTACCAAACACACATCCAGCTTTTGTGATCTCTCACTTGACGCATTGAGTGGCTTAAAACACCTGTTCTTTCCTCCCCATTTTAGACGGAGCGGCTTGCTCAAGTTGACGCAGATGATGTTGAGACCATGAGAAAGAACAAATCAACAACGCAATTGTGGTTTGAATCAGTTTTAATTAATTCTGATGATGCAACAGTGACAGTGTTTTTCATCTGTCTATGTAAAAGTAAACATTCTTTTTAAAATTGATTGCTAATAATTGATTGACTAAAATTGTAAGCACAGCTAAAATAAATTGATACACTTGACCTGGTAATAACAGACAAAGTCACAATTTCTCAGTCTTATCCTGGCAAGACAGATTAAGGGAGTTGTCTAGGGGAGTGGCTGATAAATAGTGAATTTGAGCTCCCACAAAAATCTGAAGACAGAGTATTTTCAAATACACATCAAGACTATTTTCTTTTAAGACATTTTTTTAAAAACAGATCTGTTTACTGTCACAGCTAAAACAAAGCAAATACGCAAACTACAACCACTACATTAAATATTTAAATGGTTTAGAACTAGTAGGTACATATGACATAGCTACAAAACAAATATTGGGAAAGGATCCAGCAGATCACACAAAAATGATGTTATTGCCTATTTTAAAGAAGTAACATTTTGTTTCCACTTGACAAATATTAGTAAATTCTTTGTCTTTGATCTAATAACTAATCTAAGAAATGACATCATGAAACAAACAAAAAAACATGAATGGGTCTACACTAAGTCGGAATAAATTCATATCGAGGTCTTTATTTTCCCTTCACATTGTTCTGCTTTACGGCAGGTGCTGGAATAATATCGATACAAAAGCTGTCAACATTTTGTTCTATCCTGACCTCTAGCAAGGCATAAACTAAAATCACAGAGTATTCGCATCATAAAATAATACCAAGATTAAACCATGCGATTGGCATGAAACATGCTTTGGAGTGAAATTTGTAGGACACAAATTAATACTGATATCTATAGTGTGCCCCTCACAAGAGGGCTCACACATTCTCATATCACATAACGAAGCTTTCTCAACCTCCACTCTTCTTAAACAGAAGCGTACTCAAAAGCCACTCAATTAATTCCCCACTCACATTGGTGCAAATGCAAAGTGAACCCCACAGTCCAACGTAAGAGGGAACCCGTTCACACAAAAATTCCAAAAGTCGTAGAAGTTCTTCTGATAAAAAAATAAAATAGCACCAGCCTTCCTTTCCTTTTGAGCAAGCCACACCCACATCACAGACGACATTATCGTTCCTCGCCCTCGACAATCACAGTCGAAGAAGATCCGTAGACACACTCGCTGAGTAATAATAAGAAAATAATAAATAACAACTTGGCAGTCTGAGCGGCGCGGCGCGGCGGGGCCGTGTTGCGCGCAAACTGCGTCTTGCTGCAGTCTTAAGTCGAGGGGGGCTCCAGCACCGCGAGCACCATGCGATGCCGGAGCGTTACTCCCACTTTGGTCGCCGCGTTCGCCTTACAGCCGCTGTAGTGCCAGCGCCTGCCCTAATTGTCATAGCTGAATGCTGATGGAGCTGGGCGGGGGAGAGGGCTTCTGGTATTCTGTTGAGGAAAAATTAAAAAAATATTACAGAATAAGTAAAGAAAACTCGGCGAAAGGGGTGGCCTCTCGTAGCGCTACTCACTCTTGAGCAGGTCGTCGAGCTCGGCCTCGTTGTAGTAGACGTGGAAGTCCTGCGGCTGCAGCCCCTCGAACACGGCCACCACGGAGGGCTTCAGGTTGTAGAAGAAGAGCGTCTGGCCGCGCCGCGAGAAGTCCTGCGTCAGGGACTCGATGACCTTGGCGGCGGTGAAGTCGGCGCCGTAGATGTGCGAGCAGTCGATCACCACGGGGTTGGTCTGCTTGATGGAGTACTTGGTGACGATGTTGCGCACGTAGTCCACCGACGGGAAGATGAGGCAGCGGTCCGGCGTCAGCAGCATGTAGTCGACGCCGCCCTGGCTCTGTGGGGGAAACAAACACACAATGAGTATCAGGGCATGACCCAGCCAGAGACATCGCCGGGACTCAGACGCAGCGCAGTGACAATTCATCTAATTTTTCACCCAAACTCTGCAAAAAATTCAATCACCTTGAGGATTTGCATGGAGATCTTGGGCCTGGCCGCGTGGTACAGGATGAAGACGAGGTTGGTGCCGATGCCGATGACGATGCCCACCTCCAGGGCGAGGATGAGGCAGGCCAGGAACGTGACCACGCCGGGGATCAAGTCGCTCTCTGGAAGAGGAAAGGAGGGGGTCGTTTAGAGGCGCCAATCAAAATTCTACCCTTGTCGCTCCTTACGGACATTCATTGAGTGCGAGAGAGACCAGAAGGCAGGATGCGTTGCGTAGACGGGGGTTGGCCCTCAGCAGACTGATTCCGAGCACTGCTTTGGTCGCTCTGTCTCTCTCGCACCCATACGGGGCGGTGCTAGGCGGCGAGAGGTACTCACTCTTGGACCGCCAGATGGGCGCCACGACGCGCACCTCCACCATGAACACGACGGCGGCGATGATGACGGCGGCCAGGGCGGTCTTGGGGATGTAGGCGAAGTAGGGCGTGAAGAAGAGCAGCGCCGTGATGACGAGCAGCCCGGTGTACAGGCCGCCGAGCGGCGTGCGCACCCCGGACGAGTTGTTGACGGCGGAGCGCGACAGGGAGCCGCTACCGGGGAAGGCCTGCACCATGGAGCAGGCGATGTTGCACATGCCGATGGCCAGCATCTCCTGCGTCGCGTCCACGGCCTTGCCGTTGGCTGCAACAGACAAGCAAGAGTCGCGGGTTCAAATCCTGGCCGGGTCGTTATCGTCCAGGGGCGGATGCAGCCTCGCCTCCCCCTGATAACCGCGTAAAACGTAGCCAAAAAGCCTTACTTTGACCCTATAAGTAAGCAAAGAGAGCCACTTTGCCCGTCCCCCCTAGATGCCGCCTGTCGCCACTGTCTTCGTCGTCCTCGGTAGGTCATTTCTCTCATCTCTCTTCCGCGCCGCCCCAGTATCTCATTCGGTCCTCGCCTCGCCGCCCCGCCACCAAGGGATAATTGAACGGCGTCTAGCGTAGCCGCGCCGCCGCGCCGCTGGCACGGGTTCAAACCTCGCTGGGAGCCAACTTTTGTTTTCGCAAGACCGTGAACTTGACACTTGGGCCGGGCCGCGCTCCAACGGGCCGGCCGGGCGCGTTTGCCACGCCATCGGCCTTTTTGGCGGTCTGCGGGTTGTCTGGTTCGAAGGGTTGAGCTTCGGCCAAACCCGGCGGCCAAAGGTCTATTGTCTAATGACAAACGCGAGTCGGCGGCGCGGCCCGCGTCATCGCTTCGCGCCGCTGTCTCTCTCGCACCCTTAGGGGGCGCCCCGCGAGTGCGACGGAGACAGGGCGACGGCACGACCCTTCAGAGTGAGGCGGCATGGCGGCATGGCAGGCTCGGCATGGCAGGCTCGGCAGGCCCGGCCAGGGCTGGGCTCAAAATAAATGGGCCGCGCCCGCCGCACCGGCCGAGGCACTGGCGCACTGGCACGCCACCTGGGCGGGGCGGCGGGGCCGCGTGGACCGCGAGGACCGCGACGCTCTTGGCGGCGCCCAGGATCAAGGTCGCCCTGCCAAGCCGTCTGATAAAGCATCAGACATCAAACCGCCGCGCGCGCCAAAAAAGAAAAGCCCGCCGCGCGCGAATCGCGAATCGCGGGGGAATGGGGAATGTCCGCGGGCATCCCTGTGGACTGATTGATTCCGAGAGTCGCTCTCGGCGCTCTGTCTCTCTCGCACCCATACGGCGTACAAGGAGCGCCACGAGTGCGAGAGAGAGGGTCGGCGAGGCAGGCCGCAGTCCGGCACGCTGCTCCAAACACTGGCCGGCCGGGCAAGTGGCGCCATTAACGGCGGCCTTGAGGGCCTGGACGCGGAGCCACGCGGAGCCTCCACGCCGCGGAGTACGCCGAGTGGACGGGCGACGCGGGACTGTCACCGCGTCAGCGCCACCAATCGCGACCCGCGCGGCGACACCGAAATCACGACCAGAGCGGATATCGGGCGGCGCGCCGACCAAAACGACAACGGCCGGCGGACACACCGGGCGGACGGGGTTGTGGGGTTGCACATGTATCGCCCACCTCTAGGTCGGCACATTCGACATGAACCCCTGCAGGTTCTCTTGGCCCGGGACGGGGAGACGACCGCCACCCCCGCGTTCGACTTGAACCGCGCGCGGCAGTGCCCTGGACTTCCCTCTGAGACTTTACCTCCGGCCACCATCGGCCACCATTGGCCATCTTCTGCCACGCCACCTTCGTCCACCTTCAGCACCTTCGGCCTTCGGCGGCCATTCCTCACAAACACGGTGATAGTGGGCCGCGGGGAAGGCCGTCCTCGTCCTGCCGATGCTCCTTGGGTGCTCAACGCGGGGGCACTGCGGACTGACTCCGAGAGTCGTTTTCGGCGTTCTGCCTCTCTCGCACCTGTACAGGACGCCTCAAGAGTGCGACAGAGACAGAGCGACGCAACCGACTCTCGGAATCGGTCTGCTGCTCGCCGGCCGGCCGCACTGGCACCATTGACACACATAGGGACTGATAAAGGGACCGCGCCTCAGCCTCAGGTGGCTCGCGGCACAACAAGCAGCCGGCAGGCAGCGCAGGCAGGCAGCGGAAGGCGAAGAGGTAAACAGCCGCGGAGGCCCTTTGGGCTTCAAGCCTCCAAGGCGGTGGCGGCGGCGACACGGACCCTCGAGATAAACGGCGCACTAAACGGCCCGAGATTAGCGGCGCGGAGTTCGACGCGACGTTAAGCGGCAAAGATTAGCAAGGTTACACCCACCCACCACTCACGCACACACGCAAGCGAGTTTCAGGAGGAAAAAAGAGGGGGGAACAGTCGGTGCGCAAATGCGATTAGCACGGCGGCGCCCATTTCTTGGGAGAACCAGGTGAGTGGCTTTCCTTTCCAATCCGTTCTCTCGACATGCCATTCAGGTCGTAAAAAACAAAGCAGGAGGATCGCGACGGAGCGACGCGCGATCCGATGACGGACTCGAACGGAATCTTCCCTTCGCCGCCCCGCGGCTTCGCCTCGCTTCGCCTCGCTTCGCCTTTCCTTCCGGCTGCGCGAACAACGGTCCTCGGATTAACGATTTTGCCATCGCTGTCGCGTTAGTCACGCTCGCTTTCGATCGGCGGCGCGGCGACACTCGCGAGGCTCGTATCGCGGAACTTGAGGGCCGCGCGGTCTGGCGAGTCTGGCAAGTCGAGGAGTGGGCCAGACAACTCGAAACGCGTTTCGATCTCTCTCGACATCAAACGGGACTCGAATCGGACACTTGACGGTACCAATGGATTGCTCCTCGAACGAGGAATCCATTGATACCCTCAAGTGTTCGATTCAAGGTACTTTTGATTTGGGCCCCAAAACGCGTTTTGATCCCTCCAGTCCTCAACAGGTCTCGAATCTAACACGTGATGGTGTCAATGGATTGCTCGAAACGAGGAATCCATTGGTACCCTCAAAAATTGAATTCGGGGTACTTTTGATTTGAACTTCAAACGTGTATAGAGTTTATTCGGGTCCGCCCAAAACCAGCCTCTGGTGGCCACGCCGAAAGTGCATGCACCCTGCGTGGGGCGCCGAGAGTGAAGACAGCCCGGGGAGGAACTCACCGAAGGCCTTGCAGATGGCGATGTTCTCCAGCAGGGCGACGAGGGGCAGCACGATGACGCCGGAGCCGAGCGTGGACACCATCTCCACGAAGGAGTAGGTGGAGTTGCCCTCGACGGCCGAGAAGGGCGGCGGCTGGAAGGACGGCAGGCCGGGCGGGATGTAGCCGATGACGCGGAAGGGGGCCTCGCCGCCGTCGCGCGTGAAGTGGTAGCCCAGCACGCCCGTCACCACCACCAGGATGGCGTTGCGCGAGGTGCCGATGAGCCACAGCGCGCTGTTGACGAAGCGCTGCCACCGGGACTGCTTCTCCGAGTCGCTGGGGCCCAGCTCCACGCTCGCCACCATCTGCGCAGAGGCATGCCAAAGTCACATTTCGTCCAAGAGCGTGCAATGGATGCAGAGGCAAAAAGGCACAAAATTCACACCCTTTCCGTAGAGCAAATCAAGACCCACCCTCATGAGCAGCAGCACGACGATGCACGTCACGCCCAGGATGGGGTCCCACAGGCGCGTGTTGTGGATGTCGTCGAACACGCTGGTCCAGATGGAGATGAAGGTGGAGCCCTTGGCGGTGATGCCGAGGATGTCCTTGACCTGCGTGGACACGATGATGATGGCCACGGCCGAGGTGAAGCCCGACGACACGGGGCCCGACACGAAGTCTATGATGAAGCCTGCCGAAAGGAAGAAGCGCTCGTCAGTACACTGTGTGCGCCGCACTGTTTTTGCAGTGTCCAGGCTCTGGCCAGAGAGATGGACGGCGGCCGGCGATGGGCGAACCAGAACGAGAACGCCGATGACGTCACGTCACGTCAATAACTCATCCCATTGGCGCGCTACTTCACTCGCCCGTTTCGATTCGCAATTTGATCATCATTGACTGTGTCGATGTGTTGTGTGTTTGTCACCCGGCGCCACGCCGTCCTATGCATCCTCCCAGTCTCATGGGCGAGGTGAAGGTCATGGGGCCGGCGGGGCGGGGCGGGGTGGGGGCCGCGGGGGGTCCGCTTTCTGGTCCAAAGTCAAGCTGTCCGCGAGCCAGCCCCGGCAGCCCCGCGCCGACACGTCTATGGCAGTTGGCCGCGGCGTTAGCTCAACGTTAAGGCAGCGAGGCACGTGGGAAAGGGGGAAAAGGGGGGGGGAGGCCCCCGAAAGACGCGACAGCACTGGCAGCCGCGCAAGGCGCCAGGCACGGCGAGAACGGCCAGGCTGGCCATTACCAGAGTACACCCTCAGAGCTTCCCCGTCGCTCTGTCTCTCTCGCACTAACACGGCACGCCCCACGAGTGCGAGAGAGACAGCGCACTGCGCGCGGAATCAGCTCACACGGCAAAGGTGCGAGGCGGCGAGACACAATTATCTGGGCGAAGTTTATTTCCGTCGCAGCCTAACCGCGTCCTAAACCCTTGCCGGGCCCGCTGTGTCACTGTGCCGCTGCGCCGCTTGCCGTTCGGGCGGGCTGGCCGCGGCGACAGCGACACGGCAACATCACGCGCCCTTTGATGCGGCTGTCAGAGGCCGCGACATTTCTATTCCTCTGTCACAGCGCCTGTCCCGTCACAGACAGCACACTGATTCCGAGAGTCGTTCTCGTCGCTCTGTCTCTCTCGCGCTTATGGGGCGTCCTGTATACTAGGTGCGGGAGAGGCAGAGCGACGAGAGACTCTCGGAATCAGTCTACTGTCACAGAGCGGCGGCGGGCGCCGACAAGTCCCGCCAAAGTCCGCGGCGGAAAGAGTGGCGCCGTCGCTACTCCCCGAGCGAGGGACGCGTTTTGAGCTCCAGAGTTGCTAAATGGGACTCGAACCGAACGTGCGACCCCACCAATGGATTGCTCTCCGAACGAGGAATCCATTGGTGGGGTCACAAGCTCGGTTCGAGTCCCATTTAGCGACTCTGGAGCTCAAAACGCGTCTCCCGGCCCACTGTGCACTCCCCAAGCCCTTACCGAGTCCGAAGACGCCCATGAGGAGTTGCACGATGCCGGTGAGGAAGCAGAGCAGCACGCCGAACTGGGGGCTGTGGCCGTGCAGGCTCTGGTACACCAGCAGGGCGGTGATGGCCGTGGGGCCCATGGGCACGTCCTTGCAGCTGCCGAGGAAGATGTACACGAGGCAGCCCAGGAACGAGCCGTACAGGCCGTACTGCGCGGGCAGCCCGGCCACGTTGGAGTAGGCCAGCGACTGGGGGATGACGGTGAGGCCCACCGTGATGCCCGCCACCAGGTCGCCGAGGAAGTCGCTGCGCGTGTAGCGCGGCAGCCACTCCAGGATGGGCAGGCGCCGGAACAGCATCTTGCGCGTGCACGCGCGCCGCACGCGCTGCTTGAGCCACGGCACCGCCTCGCGCACCACCTCGCGCGGCCCGGGCGTGTGCTCCTCCTCCACTGCGGGAACAAAAATGGACGCTTAGACTTGGTTATGGTTAGGTTAAATCAGGTTATGCTAGGTTAATGTAGGTTAAGTTAGGTTATGCTGTGTTATGTTGGGCTAGGTGACGTGCAAGTTCCCATCTACACACTAGTGATGGAAAAGAGACATGATCAGGACCATATTTTGGGCAAGGATGCCTTCCTCACAACATCTGGGCAGTCCCTCACCCCCACTTTTGGTCATGATGACGACTCAGTCATTCTCAGTGTACATGTATGTTCCTCTGACGTCAGAGACGTCACAGAAACACTGCTATGCGTCCAAATCTTGGCAGGCGTGTACACGAAGGTAAGCCGCATAACACTGTTTTCGTGACGTCATGCAGAAGGTCAAGAAGTACGTATGAGAACGTTCCCTAGGGTTACGTAGAACTGGGTACACACTCCGTAAAAGGTGAGGTTAGGTCAGGTTAGGCTCAATTGGGTTAGATAAGGTTGCATCGGATCAGGTGAGATTATGTTCGACGCTCATCCCATCGACATTCCCACTCCTCGTTTTTCCCGCCATTGATTAAGCTATGCGCGCCACGCATTCCAAACACAAAGAAAAATACCGATTACAAGGAAGATTATCTACGATCACGTATGGTTCTGAGAGGACGACAACTCGAGAATGAAAGAGTCATAACCAGGACTATAGTTTGGGGTGAAGTATCCTTTAACACCCGACGAAGGTTTCCTCACTTCTAGGTAATAATAGTTTCTAGCTACCTTACTCACCCAAATTTGGGTCATAAAATAGACCTTACGCAAATTTGAGTGATTCATACCTCGCCCAAAATATGGTATGGATCAAGACTCCTTTTCATTCTCAGTGGAGAAGGAAATTAGGGATTGCGCGAGTAAATTTGCACTTCTCCTCCAAGAATAACCGCGGCGAGATAACCAACAACCATACGCGGTTTCGGTGTACCTGGTTGGGTTCAGTTAGATTGGGTTTAGTCGCATCAGGTTGGCGGGCAAACGTACATATGAAGTCCGTGCTGCCGATGTAGACGGCGGGCGTCTTGGTGGAGTACTTCCGCTGCGGCTTGACGACGGGCGGGGGCGTGCCCTCGGGCGAGGAGCCCGGCGAGGGCGACGGCGAGGGGGGCACCTGCCCCCCGCCGCCCAGCTCCAACTTGTCCGTGCTACCGCCCGGAGTCATCTCTGCAAACAGACGAGTCAGTCAGTGCTAATTCGTTTCAAAAGAGTGCGTGGCTACTCCAACCCATGCGCGGATCCAGAAAAAGTGGAGGGGGGGGGCTGATTCCGTGAAGGCGCCTGAAAGGTAGGTAAAAAGTTGTGCACAATTTTTGCTTGGTTAGGTTGGGTTGTAGGTAAATTTTTGCTACATCGCCTCCTGGATCCTCCCTTGACTCCAACGACTCTAACCGATGTTTTCACAAGCGGGTGGAATCGGGTGGGACACACACACGACAGGTGGGCGCTCTACTAGCCTCGCTATCGGGACCGTGACGCCCGACGGGTAGAACCGAATGAGCCGCGACTATGAGCCACGGCAGACGGGCCGACCCGGTTTTTCTGCTTTATCTTCGAACCGAGTCCCGTGGCCAAATAGTGAGTCTGCATTTGCACAAGGCTCAGTGAGCGCCCACCCGCTGTGTGCGAAAAACCTTGTTTGTTTCTGTAATGATAAAGAGGCCAACAAAACACATGCCGGTACGAAAAACACACGCGACACGTCAGCCAAAATCTACACACTTCATGCTCAGGCTACGGGCAGCAGGCTTGCCAGCAGGTTGATTCCGGAACCGTGCAGTCGTCGCTCCGTCTCTCTCGCACCCTCGGCACGCCCCACGAGTGCGACAGAGACAGAGCGACGACTCGTCAGCCTGCTGGCGGGCTGCTCGGCCCGCCACACACGCGCGCATGCGGCTGCCTACCTCTGAGGCGCTCGTGGCCGCCGCGCGAAGCCAAGCTCATCGAGCGGAACATCCTCAAGCTGGACGAAAGCTTCCTATCCCCCATGTGGCTGGCTGCGGGGACACAAAGCACACGGACGCGTCAACACACCGAGTCCGGGTCGAAAAGCACAAAGCGGCACTGATTCCCTCTGAGACGAAAGTTGTTCCACTTTGGTGATTTTTCAATGTCCTAGTCTCTGCACTTCATCGCTCTCATCGTCGTTGGGTTGTCGCAGCGTTCTTTCTCTGCCCGCCCCGCCCCGCCCCGCCGATCGCGGGCAGTCGCTCCAAGCCGGCGTCCGCCGCGGACCGGTCCGGATGAGCGTTACTCCACTGTCGTGTCCATACATCAATCCCGCCCGCCCGGTCGGCCGGCCCGGCTCCATCCACGTGACCACAACAAACCGACCACGCGGTCGCCGGCCGGACAGCGGGCTTCCTGGAGGCCCGGGGCACGGCCTGCGGCACGGCCTGGAGCCTGGAGGACGCTCCAAGCGCGCGCGGAAAGACCCCAAAGAGGCCGGCGGAGCCATTCCGAAGTCCGAGGGATCGCTTTCGTCGCGCTGTCTCTTGGGGCGTCCCGCGGGGGTGCGAGAGAGACAGAGCGACGCGCCGCTCGGCGTCCAGACGGCCAGACGTCACAGTGTCGCGGCCAGACAAGGTGGAGCCGCGCTCGTGCCGCCACGCGCCGGTGCAGCACGGCGGCTCGCTCCGTCTCTCTCGCACCCCCACGGCACGCCCCATGAGTGCGAGAGAGACGGGACGACGAGTACGCACCGCGTACAGAGGGACGAAGGCACAGTCCTGCAGCCCGTCGACGCCGTGCCGGGCTGGGCCAGAGGGAGAGGGACCGCGCCGCGCGTACTCCGCATGCTCTGCACTGGGCGTGACGTCACCGGCATATCTATCCACCTAGCCTGCCAGCCTGCCGGCCTGTTAGCCCAGCGAAATCCAGGTCAGCGGACCGAAACACAGTGAGTCGCCACGCGCCGCGCTGAGCAACAGAGCAAGCGAGCACGCCGAGCGATATGTCATTATGCAAAACCACGACGCGCACGGCGGCAAAGCGGCCCCGTTTATCCGCCGCGCCATTCCGAGAGATCGCCTCTGTCTCTCTCGCACTCACGGGGCGCTTCGTAAGGGTGCGAGAGAGACAGAGCGATGCTTCGGACTCGGGCGGCCGACAGCAACCGCCGGCCACGCCTTTCTTTTTTTCAACAACATGGAATGAGGGGACGCGATTACGGAAGGTGTCTAGGCCGATCGGTGCGGCGTGGGTCACAGTGTACCGCCACGCGGCCACGCGGCGTGCCACAGGAGCAGGTTGACACCGAGCGAGAGGTCGCTCTGTCTGCCTCTCTCGCACTCGTGAATGAGTCCGAGAGAGACAGCTAGACGAGACCCCTGCAGCCTGATTGATTTCGAACACGGCTTTCGCTGCCCTGCCTCTCTCGCACTCATTGGGCGTTCCGCGAGGGTGCGAGAGAGGCAGCGCGACGCGAAGCCGCTGCTTGGCGGCGTCGCTCCTCTCGGCCGCGACGCGACCTTCTGGCGGCCGGGCCGTGGACGCGCGACGGAGACGGGGCTCGTCTGCACAGTCTGCTGGGTGCTGCCGAGAGATTACGCGGAAGCGGCGCTCCATTGACGCGTCCTCCTCGACACTGTAACACAGTGCGCGCCGCGCTGACCCACTTCACTCGGCTTCACGCGAGTCTCATGCGGAACCCTCATCTCATTGGGCGGGGCACGCGGCACGCGCCGGCCGGGCCTTTGAACCTACACGTCCGTCTGTCCGTCTGTCTGTCCGTCCGCTTGGCCATCGCGTGCCGCGAGAGACGGACCCCGAAAGAGATGCAATGGCAGCCACTGCGTGTTGGGTGAGCCCGTGTCTTTCCCGCCGCACTCAGTGCATCACCTCCGGGCCACCGTCGGCCGGGCCGTCGAGGGAAGTCCAAGAGCGTGACTCACACCGGCTGTGTGTGTCGCGGAGTCGCGGACCGACGGGGGGATCGCCTTGCCGTTTTGCACCTACATTGGAAACAACGCTCGTACTAAACACTTCAATGTACGTAGAAAGCAGTTAAAAGCTTTCGAAAAAAAGTTTTAAAAATAGAAAAGCAGTTACAAATTTTGTTAAAGAAAAGGATAAAAAGGGTATTCTTCAATTTTGTAAATTTTCTTTTTTTTTCGTTTTTTTTTAAATACATGTTTTTGGGAACTTTTTTTAAAAAAGTTATTGTCTTTAGTTTTAAACGCGGCCAAAACAGCTCAGTCACATCAAGGCCGTATCGCTGGCCAGTGTTAGCCGGATCGACGCGACACAGCCTCGACGGCCAAGATTACGGGCGGCCGTCGCGCGCTGCGCTCGAGGACGCCACGGACGCTTGGACCGTGGACACGGCCGGTGCCAAAGGTTGTCTCAAAGGCCGCGCGCGGGTTCCAATTCCCCAATTCCTCCAATTATCTCGAAAGTCCGAATTTGGGCCGCCGGCGCAGCCTCCCATATCGCGTCGTTTTGGGTCATCCCTGGTCATCCACGCAACGCCGCGCCGCGCGTGTGCATTCGGCCGGATGCCTTTTCGATTTCATGGGGAAAGGGCGAGGGGGACGCGCCAATATGCTATGCTACGCACTTTTCCAAAAACAAGAAAAATACATCGGAAAAAGATTTTTTTTAAATTCACCTTTCCAACTCTAGTGCAGGCCCTTCTCCCTTCCGCGGCGGGCGAGACACGCGGACAGTGCAGCACGGCGGGCGGGCCCAAGGGCGGGCCCAAGGGCGGGCGGCGCCAGGCGAGCCCGTCACGTCAGGGGATAGACAACAGCGCGCTGTCTCTCTCGCACCCTTCACGGAAGCCCCGCGAGAGCGAGAGAGACAGCGCGACTCCTCGGCCTGCAGGTCAGCGTATTTATAACGGGGTGCTCCATTCACTTTTCGCGTCTCCACTGCCAAAGCCTCGACCGTCGCCGCCGTGGCACCGCGCCGCGCACCTGTCACACGACATGCGGTGGCCGGCACGCTGGTGTTCGTCGCTCTGTCTCTCTCGCGCCTGTGCGGGACGCCCCATGAGTGCGAGAGAGACAGAGGGGCTCGCGGGCCAGCCCGGCCAGGCGGCGTGCGTCAACGCAAGGCGGCAAGCCCGCGACCGTTGTGACGCCACAGCGGACGGGGCGACTTGGAGATGCTCTCGGCGGCCATCCCTTTAACTTCGCCCCGTTGTCGCTCTTTTTCTCCCTGTCGTCCCGAAATAGAGCCAATTGGCACGGCGCTGGCGACCGCGCGCCACTGCGCCACGACACTGCCGCTGCACGCGGCACCTGGCCGATAGAGCGAGCACCGCACCTGCAGGTGCCTCGTCGCTCCGTCTCTCTCGCACCGTGCGGAAGCCGCGCGAGTGCGACAGAGACAGCGCATCGGACTTGGCGTGCCGTCCATCGAATCCGCGTCAGTAAAAAAGAATGAACAGGCGCGCGCGTGGCTCCATCCACACTGGACGTGCAGTCTGGCGATTCCAAAGAATCGTCTCTGTCTCTCTCGCACAATGCCGGAGCGCCCCGTGAGTGCGACAGAGACAGCGACGAAACGACTCTCGAGGATCCGCGTGCAGTGCAGCGACGGCGGCGGTGCCAGGCGCGCTCCGCTCCTTGAAAGCACCGAAGCGCGGCCGTCCGTTTAGTAATTGCCGCGGACTCCAGCCGAGCGTGTCAGATCGAAAAATTTAAAAAGCGACGAAAACAAAGACAAGAGAACAGAGGAGGTGCGGCGCGTGCCGCTCCATGACCGGCAGCGGCTCCGAGATAAGGAACGGCGCTCGCGGGCACGCCGGGCAACCGGGCAAGCACAACCAACGACCAGCAGCACCGCCACGCCGAGCCAGATAACATTGTAGCTCGTTCAATATTGACGCAGGGCGCTGGGAACTGTTTGCCGCTTTTTCGGAATCCGGCTGAGATTTCGCGAGTGCAGGACCGCGTCGGAAGCGCCAGGTTCGGGGGAGGGGATTGGCAGTGCACCCTCCACATTATTGCGGCACTGTTGAAACTGAAATATGTGAATAAAATGAAGTTCATGAAAATTCCCGATGGATCGTCAAAACGCACTTTTCGGTATTTTTTCGATTTTTTTTAAAATAATTTTTACAGTGCGGGGCAGCCGGACACAGCCCCGTGAGATACGTGGCGGTCCGCGGTCCGCTAGGCGATACCCCATCGGGGGAGTCTGTAGTGCCAGCCCTGCAAAAGCGAGGCGGCGCCAAGCGCCCAAGCCAGGCAGAGCGCCGTGGGCGCGGGCCCCCCGCCGGGCACGGCTGCGCGCAGGCAGAGGGGCTGCCTACCCTCGGGGGGCTCGCCGCTCGCGCCTCCAGCCTGTTGCAGCGCCCTCGGCAGCGCCAAGGCGGAGGGGCTGCCTGCCCGGCGGGGCGCCGACCCCTCGCGTCCTTGGAGCACAGTCCACTGCTGTCTCTCTCGCATCCCGATCAGTGCGAGAGAGAGAGAGAGAGAGAGAGAGAGAGAGAGAGAGAGAGAGAGAGAGAGAGAGAGAGAGAGAGAGAGAGAGAGAGAGGAGGGCGCCTGGCCACATTGGGTGCGAGTCAGACAAGAGCACTGTTCGAAATCAGTTTTCTGCAACCCCGAAGCTTCGCGGTTCCGTGAATTCCCCTTCCCCTCTCCTCCCCGGTGCCGGTCTCCGTGTCATCGAGCGATGATTGGCTGCGCAGCCACTGTAGCAGCGCCTCAGCGCGACGCCGATTCTCCAGGACAACCAAAAGGCCAACAGGAGGACTGGCCGGTCGTTCGTCGAGGCGCGAGACGGGCCGCCGTCCGCCGCCTGTCTTCACACTATCTTGCACGTTTTGTCCTTTTGGGTTACGCACTATTTTAAACGTGTGTAAGCTTCAGTACAATATAACGCACAACAGCGCATAATATTTAGCGTTGCTGTGCACAATATTATGCAGAAGCTTATAAGTATGTACAAAAAAAATGCGTAACTTACGTCAAAACAGTGCACGAGAATTTAGTACGTTGTTCTGGCCCGACCGAAAAGACTCGTACACGTACAGTAGCGCCACAAAGTGCAGACAAAAAAAATCCCCCCAAAAAACTCTTAAAATGCGACGAGTGCAGAGCGCTGGTATGGCGCGTGGACGCGAAAGCACAGTAGCACCGTGCGGTGGACTTCCCTCCCTACACTGTGCAGAGCACCGCGTTTCTCGCGGACGGGGCGGCACTTCGAAAAAGCGGAGAGGAGAGCTTGATTGCCAGGCAGAGAAAGCTCAAAAACGAACGACGGTCCAACTAAGTTGGGGATGGAAAGTACAGGGTAAGAAAAGTACACCCTCATGGCGCTGATATCTCGACTTGTTATTTCAACTCAATGTGAAAATGTGAGTCTGAAAACCCTGACAAATGAATGTCCAGATGCCCGTTGTGTGGCCACAGGGTAGTGTACTTTTCTTACACAGTTCTTTCCTCCCCCAACTTACCCCTATGCAAAAGCCGGCGGCAACTGGAAGCTCAGCAGACGACGGTTCGGCCAGCAGCAGCGCGGAGAACCAGGACGCCGTCGGCGACACTCACTCGTATCCGGAGGGATCCGGTCAGGGTGCTGGCCGGGGTGGCGATCTGGTTCCGACCCGGGTCGGCGACGTGTTGAACGGCGGCTCTTGAACACCGGCCCTCAGCGGTGGCGGTGCTTGGCGACGGCCTCGACGAAGGTCCGCGACGACGTCCTCACGGAGACAGCCCTTGGCGCAGACCGGGCGACCGGCTTCGAGAGAGAGCGCGAGAGAGAGGAGCGATCCGTACGACGGGACGCGGCATCGAGTAATGGTCCCAATATTTACACGCAGCAACGAGGTTAGGTTGGTTTGCCGGCTCGGGCGGCGACACTCGCGCCGCGGACGGACGCCGTCACAACTACCCAGTCACACACACACACCAACACACACACAGCGGCGATGGCAGCGCGCCCCTGCGGCCGCCCCGCCAACGACACTCGCGTCAGACTATCGATGTCTCTGTCTGCCTCTCCGCCTTCGCCACGGCGTCGCCTCTCTCCTCCTCCATTTCCCGAGTCCCCGCGTCGCCGCGCGGTGCCTTGATGAGTGCTTGTAATCGCCGGCGAAACGAAGGAGGAGGAGGAGAAGGAGGGAAGATGCGCAAAGAGCTGCACTTCTTCCTTGTCTCCCCTTTCGGCCTTTCGAGCCTTTCGCCACGTGGTCGCGGTCGGGCGGTCGGTCACGGGGTGCAGTGCAGCGGCACTCGTGAAAAAAACTGATACTACACAAATTCAATAAAGGCATAATTTCCCCTACTGCCGCATGTCTTTTCCGCGGTTTGGGATGGTGTATTTTGGGCGTTCCAAGTGCACTGGACAAGACACGAGGTGACACGAGACTGGCCAAAGTTAAAGAAAAGGTATCAGGTTTTAGCCAATGTACACCACACTTCGATTTTGAAGGATCACACACGAAAACAATTTTTTGGGGAGTGGAAACGAATCCTGCAGAACGCGTGCCAAAAGCAAAAACAACAACATATAATAATTCCAAAGGTTGATGGCCTCTTGATGATGCGCCACCTCCACCAGGAAGACCGCCAGGACGTCAAAGCACGCGCACTGTACAACAATAACAAAAAACCTTTCCAAAATGTCGTCGGACTGCGACCCGATTAGAATTGCGGCACTTTTGCCCGACGCGTATGGCGGCGGTCCCTGTGGCGTGGTCGGCGTGGTCCACACGCCATTGTTCCCGAATCACTGCAGGCTGATTCGGAGCGCCAGGTCCTGTCGGCCTGTCTCTCTCGCACCGATTCGGTACACTCCATGAGTGCGAGTGAGAGACCTCCCTCTGTGAACCGGCCTGCTTGCCCGGCGACTGACGCACCGCAGCACGTGGTCGGGCAACAATAAGCAGCCGCCTGATTCCACAGAGTTTCGTCGCTCTGTCTCTGTCGCACTCATGGGTCCTTCCCCACGGGTGCGAGAGAGACAGGGCGACGGAGCAGTGCGTGTTGCCTACGCAGGCCGCCACGGCGGGAGAGTGGCACGGCACTTGGCGCACTTGACTCGCCGCCCAGCCGCTGCCGCCCAGCGTCCCGCGCGTTGAATCGATTCATCGATTCGCCACAACGGTAAGCGATTTGTTTTCGATTCGTTTTCGATTTGTTTCCCCTTCACGGCCGGGCGTCGCGTCGCTGTTTGTGTGTGCCAATGGAGGCGACCCTCGCCTCGTTTGCTCGAGTCGCAATAATAGGGGATGTGTTCGATTCGGATCGAGACTATCGAACGACGGAAAACAGGGCCATTGTGCGCGACACTGCGGCGGAGAAAGGATTCCGACGACGGTGTCCAAACAATTCAGTAAACCGGTACGGGCCGCCGCTGGAGCCGGGCCGCGTTTCGGCAGGAAAATTACGAGAAAAAACCTCTGCAACAGGTTTGAGTGCCCCTGTTGCGGTCAGCAGTATGACGTCAAAGCGGGGAAGTCCTCCGGCTTTGTTTACGAATTGCTGGAGAGGGCGCGACGCGGCGCGAACAAGACGATCGAGACTTTCATCGCGTGCGTCTCTCTCTCTCTCTCTCTCTCTCTCTCTTAGTCCGCGTGGTGACGTCACGCGCACGCCGCACCACACGGCGTCATCGCGTCGCAGCTCCAAAGACCGAAATAGACTGCCTTTCCGAGTTTCCGAGGCTAATGCCACGTTCTGGAGATACTAGTAAGTGACGGACAATCAAAGGATTAGCCGGGCCCGGGGGTGCGTCGGCATGCCAGGACATGTCGGCATGCGGGGCACGTCGCCTTCCTGGACACCTACCCGTCATCGTGGTTCTGAGCACCAGCTCGTCACCGCCGTCCTGGACACCTGCTGGTCGCCGTCGTCGTCCTGCCCCATCGTCAACACGGTCTCATCCTGGACAGCGTCAACAGCGACAGCGTCGTGCGCACGGCCAGGACTCCTCTTCCTCCTCCTAGGCCGGCCAGGCTAGCCCGCTCGGCCCCTTCCGTCAACGACCAAAGAAATGTCCGGCCCGGCCTCGGCGAGGGAAATATGCCCCGGTTACCTCCGACTGACGTCACCGCCCCGCGCAGGGCGGCGCATGGAGTCCCTCGGCCACGGCGGCGTCGGACTCCCCTCGGACTCCACGTCGGCCAGGTGGGCCGAGGCCGAGGGGTGGGGGCAGACGGGTCGCGCGTCAACTACACCCCACTTTGGGTACCGAACGGCAAAGTGGGGCAAAGTCATGCGCAAGACGCATTTTCCCCGACGGATTGGAGGGTGCGAGTTAAATAACCATTGCAGACTTTCTTCGCCTCCACCTTCTGATTATTCAGCGGGTCTTCGGCGAGCAGCCCCCCTCCTCCAAGGCCCGGCCGTGGCGGGGCGGCCGCGGAGATAAAGGCGAACAGCGGGTACCCGGTACCGGACGGGTCGACGGGTACCTGGCCGGGAGGTGGGGGACAATGACCCACCGACAGCCTGACACTGCCAGCGCCGTCTTTGGGCGGCGGGCCGCTCCGGGCGACACACTGGCAGGCACGCCGTCGTCGCGGTCCTCGCCTCCACGTTCACGCACTCGGGGGTGTCGTCGGCGTGGCCGAGGATGTCCCCCCAAGGCCGCAGGGTGACGGCGGCGACGCCCAGCAGGCTGATTCCGAGAGTCGTTGTCGTCACTCTGTCTCTCTCGCACCTGCACAGGACGCCCCATCAGTGCCAGAGAGACAGGGCTGCTAACGAACCTCGGAAAAAGCCCGCAGGACGCGCAGCAGGGGCGTGGCTGATTAGGGACCGCGAATACCAGTCATTCTGCGCGACCACGGCGTGCTGGGCCGCGCCAGGCACATCGTCATCGCACTCATCTTATTTTGGCGACCGTACCTTCACACTGCCTCGCACAAACATCCGTGCATGATAGGGACGGCATTAACTCGCTCGCCATCTCACAGAAACGCGCTTGGAAATCACTTCTCTTCACTCTTTTTTTTTTGGCAGGAACCACGCATTTGCCTCACTTTGTTGGTTCTTTCGCAGACACTTTTTCCCCGCGCTTTTTTGTCGGTTGTCAGTTTTGAGTTTTAGTGCGTTACTCCTAGCACGAGAAGTCAAAAATAAAAGTGCACCAGCACTGAGCCCACCGAGCCTCCGCAACGCCGATCCCAGTGACAACTCACTGACCCATTCCTGGCCGTGGCGTGGCGTGCCTTACGCACCGGCTGGCGGGGGCGGCAGACCGATTCCGAGGGTCGTCTTCGTCGCTCTGTCTCTCTCGCACTCATGGGGCGTCCCGCACAGGTGCGAGAGAGACAGAGCGACGAGGACGGCTCTGGGAATCAGTCTGCGGCCTGGCGGCCTGGCGGGGGCCCGACGGCCCGCCTGCCGATAGCGGGTGCAATGTCTGCAGCACTTTGCAGTTCCTTATCAGCGCGGCCGCCAAGCCTCGCCAAGCCTTGCGCCGCTACCGGCCAAGGCACCGGCCAAGGCACCGGCCGCCCCCTCCGAAGGACCGTCTCGTCGCTCCGTCTCTCTCGCACCCCTACGGAACGCCCCGCGAGTGCGAGAGAGACAGAGCGACACAACGCGCCGAAAGCCGCTCGCAAAGCGTCAGTCTCCTTCCTTCCCTTCCGCGGCCACGTTGACTCGACGCACGCCGCGTGGGCTGTACACTGTAGTCCTGCAGACTGCAGTGAAAGGCGGCGTCGGCGAATTCCTCTTCAAACAGATAAAGAGCCGCCCCGGCGAGCGGCTAGTCACTCTGCCTCTCTCGCTCCCTAACCGAGAGCGCCACGAGTGCGACAGAGACGGAGCGACGTAACGACGTTTCTGCATCGCTCGGCGAGCCCACTTGCCACTGGGCGTTGACACGCCCGGTTGTTACGTGGTATTTGCAAACAGTGACGAGGGGGAATCCCTCTTCGCGGGGAGCGGGAGGGGGAAGGACGGCAGGTGATGGTGCGTGCAGACGGCACTATCTATTTCCATTTTCCATCATCATCCGACGCTTCGGGCGCGCGGCCGCGATGAGTGGAGTGTGTCCGCGTGGCCGCGCCGGCAGCGCGTCGAGCAGGACGAGCAGGACGAGCACACCGTGACGAGCGACGACCGGCGGGGCACCGCCATCGCGGATCCATCGCGGATTCCCCGGCCTCGCCTGCAGGACGGAGGGAGAGAAGAGTGAGTGCCGTACAGTGGACCAGAAGACCGGCGCCGGCGGCCAAAACTCTGGACGCGTTTTGAGCTCCAGAGTCGCGGAACAGGACTCGAACCGAACGTGTGACCCCACCAATGGATTCCTCGTCCGGAGAGCAATCCATTGGTGGGATCACACGTTCGGTTCGAGTTCCATTTAGCGACTCGGGAGCTCACAACGCATCCGGGATTCTGGCCGCCTCCGCCGGTCTTCTGGCACATCCACTGTGCGGTGCGCTGGCCGCTAGATAAGCATGCAAAACGTCACGCCGATGTCCGAGACCTTCGCACGACGAACCTAGACGGCATGTGCTCGCCGCCGAACGCCGCATGGCGGCCAGGCGGGCCTAAAGAGCCCCGATTTGAAAACAGCAGACTGATTCCGAGAGTCGTCGCCCTGTCTCTCTCGCACTCACGGGGCGTCCCGTGTAGGTGCGAGAGAGACAGAGCGACGAAAACGCCTCTCGGAATCAGTCTGCAGTCTCGTCTCGAATCATCGCGGGGGAGAGCACTTCCGCGACGACGACGACCCTCAGGGCCTCGGCAAGGCCGCGCCGCCCCAGAGGCTCTCGGCCTCGGCCGCCCGGGCCGCGCCTTTACGGCCGCCTTGCTTGTAAAACGCATTTTTACAGCGGAGTGGACGTCACGCCGCCACACTGTCACGCTGTACTACCAACGTACGCGGCCGCCGAGGTGTTCCCACGCCGCACCGCCGGCGCGTGTGCAAATCGGTGCATGCACCAGCAGACTGATTCCGAGAGTCGTTGTCGCCGCTCTGTCTCTCTCCCACCTATACGGGGTGCCCCATGAGTGCGAGAGACAGAGCGACGGGAACGACTCTCGGAATCAGTCTACCGAGGGCCGAAATGATTCGCCTGTTTGTGGCCGCAAAGTGGTTGAGAAGAATGCTGCGTTT